AATTTAGAAGAACGGCTCCAAGCCTGGTTATAATCTTGGTCTGGACCCTTGCAGCCTCTTCAGGCGCTAGCTGCTAGAGCATTATAAAGTTATAAATAAGAATCACTTACCCTTAGGCTCTTCAGTCTGGATTCTGGGGTATTATTAGCTGTCAAGACAGCTAAAGTTGAAATTTACACAGAAAACAATACTGGCTTTGCTGGGAAAATAATTAAAGTTGTGTTCGCAGTAGAACACTCCTAATGTGCATATGAAAACTGTCCACTGTTTTACACACGAAAAAACATATAATTTGCAATTCTAAGCACTGGGAGTGCATGAACTGTTCAATTTAGGGCGAAATTCTCAGCATAAAAACGCCAATAATTGATCTTGTGAAACTGAAGTTCACAGAAAAATTACACTGATTGTACATTTAGACTGTACAAGTTCATATGAAAACAGTCTGTCATTGAAAGCCTCGAGTTAACTTATAAAATCTGAGTTTTGCAAGAACAAAATTTGCAAACCCGCTCCAGAACCCAGAAAATCCCTCGTCGTTCCGCGTCGAATAAATATTAAATGCAACAATATAACAAAATACAACAATATGGGACTAAAAGCTCTACATTTGCATGGCAACCAGGGGCAAAGTAATGCCAAATTTACCGAAAGCTGCTTCGTGCCACCTGGAAAGAAAAAAACAATCTGTTTCGTACAGCAGGAAATCTGTTCAAAGCCAGAAAAATTGGAAATCGGAAATGCAAAGAATGAAAATGTGAAAATCTTTCAACTTCACTTGCTTTTCGGAAAGCTGAACTCAGTTCAAGCTGAAAGATTTATGGATTAGAAATTGTTCTTACTAACCTTCTGCAAGCTGGCGCCCTATCCTCCATTTTCCACCCCTTAACCTTCAAGAAGTTAACACTACGCCTTCATACTACACACAATGAAAATCCACTCCCAATGAAAAAAACTTTAATCCTGCAGTTAACAAGTTGTATAAACTACCGCAGTTCCCTTAAGGGCCACACTGATTCCACATTTCCCATCTAAGGGCGCGATTTACAGGACACGAAGGACTGGCGACTGATTTCGTCCATTGCCTGTAATCAACTGAATATCACAATTTATGAAAAAAACTCATGGGATATATTATATTTACAGGACCAACTTACAATCGTTTGCTCGATAGCCCTTTAGTTTTTCAGATTCAGTTCTTTAGATTTCAGTTTGATTATTGTCGACTGTTTGTACAAAGTGCGTATTCGCACGGCAATATTTTCAAAGACAATTTTCAGATTTGAAAACACCCAAAGTTAAACAAATCGCGACGATGGGGCGCATTAGACTTTTTATTCTAAATTAAATGCTACCAATCGAATCAATTGTTTTATTCAATTTTCATGAAATTTTGGGATGAAAGCCAGAAATGCCAGACTCACATTCAGGACAAGCCAGAATTTATGAATGCTTCTTTGCTGAGTTTGACAAGATTTTTCCGTTTAGTTCCCACTTGTTTTGCATGAAAATTGTAACTTTTGAGGCTGGAAAGTCTGCTTAAATGGCAATTCCAGATTCAAACCGGGCCATGATTTGTGACTGCTTCCCTTTGCCTGCTGCGTTGAAGCGACGGAGAAACACTGGATTTTGCCACGATCTCACCCTTGACTCTCTTGCTACATTTCTATTAAAATGCGGAGTTTTGCTTGATATATTGTCTTTACCCCAAATTACTTTACCCCAAATTACACTTTTTGAGGGCCAATTTAATGCATTTCTACTGGCATCAGTTTAAAGTTTTGACGAGCACCATCTAGAAACTAACCACTAATAAAATGCGTAAGTTGCCCTTGTAATTTTTCTCTAGATCTATTTTTCGAATTGTTATTGTTCCACATAAGAAGTTTTAATTGACGCTAATAAAAAATAGTCAACTAATAATTGGATTAATTAACTTAGAGTCCAGTTAAGAAACTGTGCTGTGCGTTAACGGTTACTGGAGTATTGCAACGACATAAAGAAGATATTATTTAAATTTTTGATCTCCATGGTCAGTATTCTGGTCAATGTCCGTATTAGAACGGTTCCACTGGTTACACTTCGCAGCTCGTAACGGAAAAACTAGCTGGAACAAGTGTATTCTCGCACTATTTAGCTATTTAAATTTTTTATAAATGGATCTTCAGGGAAAATCTGGATGAGATGGAATCTGGCTGTTTGTGTATGTTTATACGGATAAAAAATTAATATCCGATATGTAGATGACATTGCAGCATGAAAAGCTGCAAAATTTTGAAAATCTCAATAACGAAAGCAGCTATAGAATACAAACAGATAGATAAAAATACTAGAAAAATAGAATTGATAGTAGTAAGTTCTATAGAGCTTGACAATTCGTGGTCATCATGAAAAATCAGAAAACTTCGGGATTTTACTTGAATTTTGTCCGGATGGCGCTAAATGCTTGTACTTTCAGTCTGTAAAATATCAAGAATTTACCACTTTTCAAACATTTTTCAATTTTCTAAACGTGAGAGTCAAAATGTCTTTATGTGCTTATTTTGCAAGTTCATAGTTGCATATCCAGACTCTACTGCATTTAGTATAAAGTGGGCAATTTTCTATACGTGCAGATGCAGATGTCTGAACGCTGATTTTGCAAGTTTATCCTCGGTAGTCTCAGAAAATAATGAAGTGCTCAGATTTTGTTTAAATTTTGTCTGTGTGTAGCTAGATCCATCTGCTCCTCGTGCTTAAAATGTGAAAATTCTAGCGCTTTAAATCTCAAGTGGAGAATTTTTTTAAGCGTGAGTGTGCAAATGTCTATCGTACGTATCAGGAGACTATCAAAAATCGGAAAGTTTTCAAATATTGCTCAAATTATGTTCCCATAGAGCACAATTGATTTGCTTTTCGGCTTTAAACTTGAAATTCTAGCGCTTTTAGTCTGAAGTGGGAAATTTGTTAATCGTGAGGGCGTAAACATATTCGCTCTTATTTTTCAAATTCTTCCTTAAGCAGCTCGGCAAAATCCAAAAGTGTTCGAATTTCACTAAAATTTCATTTCTCCAACGCCAAATCTTTCTCATTTTTTCATTTAAAATATCCAGATTCTACTGCATTCTGCATAAAGTAGGCAATTTTCTAAGCATAAAGATGCAGAGGCCTAAGCTCTTATTTTGCAAAATCGAACTCGAGCTGCTCTGAAAAATTAGAAAGAACTCAGATTTTACTCGAATTCCGGCAGGATGAAGGTGAATGCTCGTGCTTTCAGCATTTAAAATATAAAGAGTGTGCTGCTTTTAATCTGTTTTTTAATAAGTGAGCGATTTTATAAACCTGAATGTGTTGGTCTCTACTAGGCATATTTTGTTCATACCCGGGCGGCTCTCAACAATCGGAAAGTGCTCCAATATTGCTCAAATTTTGTTCTTGTGGGGCACAAATCTTCTACTTTTCGCCTCAAAATTATTAAAATTCTAGCGCTTTTAGTTTGAAGTGGATTATTTTTTAAACGTGGGTGCCTAAATGTATTTCGTTCTTATTTTGCAAGTTTTTACTTAGGCAGCCGTGAAAAATCAGAAAGTGTTCAGATTTTACTGAAATTTCGTTCCTCTAAAGCTAAATGCTTCGGTTTCTTGTATTCAGCTAATGAAGACTCTTGCCTATTTAGTGTAAAGAGCGCAATTTTCTAAACATGAAGATGCAGATGTCTACCGCGTTTGTTTCTTATTTGAAAGTCCTGGGATTTAACTAAAATTTCGTCTGGGTGGAGCTGAATACTTAGACTTTTAGCTTTTCAAATACTGAGAGTTTTATGCTTTTTATCTGAAGTGAGAAATTTTCTACAAGTGAATGTGAAGACGTTTATCGCGCTTATTTTGCTAGAGAAATCTAGTGGCTCTAAAAACGCGGAAAGTGCACGAATTTTATTAAAACATTTTTCACATGGAGTTAAATACTTCCCCAATTTCCCTACTGCAAATATTCAAAAGCTGCTGTTTTCAGTATGAATTGGGCAATTTTCTAAACCTGAGTGTGTAGATTTTGAACGCGTTTATTTCGCAAATTTATACTCGGCAGGCTCTGAAAAATTAATAAGTGTGCAAATTTTGTTCAAATTACGTTCGTATACACCTGAGTACCTCTCCTTTTTGCCTTAATAATATGAAAAGTCCACAGCTTTAAATTGGAAGTGCAGAATTTTTCAAACGTGCGTATGCAAAAGTTTACCGTGCTTATGTTGCAAGTTCACACTTGGGCGGCTGTGAAAAATCCGAAAGTACCGGAATTTTTCCAAAATTTCGTTTAGAAAGAGCTGACTGTCTTTGGTTTTCGCCTCAAAAATATCAATTGTCTACTTTTTGTGACTCAAAGTGGGCGATTTTTCGAAATTTTCTCTGTAGCCCTCCATTACACTAATTTCGCACACTCATACTCATACTCAGATGGCTCTGAAAAGTTAGAAAGTAGTGTGAGTTTATTAGAATTTTTCTTGTATAGAGCTGAATGCTTCATCTTTTCGAATTTAAAATATTTTTAAATATGAAGAGTCTACCGCACTCAATCAAACAGAATTTGAAAATTCTCCCCTGCCCGTTTTTCGCAAAACTCTGTGTGCAAATGTCTCGCGTGTTTATTTTCATTTGAGAGGCTGAAAAATTCGTAAGTGCTCGGATGTTTCTAAAATTTAGTTTGCGTAGAGCCGAATGTTTTTGCTTTCTGTACTCAAAATTTACGGTATCTACCAATTGGGGCTTGGAGTGGGCAATTTTCTATTTTTTTCTGTGTAAGTCTCTACTGCGCTGATTTAGCAAGCGCGCACTCAGATGGCTCCGAAAAATCAGAAGGTGCTCGGATTTTGCTAAGATTTTCAGTCTGAAGTGGACAATTTTCTAAAGCGGAATGTATAATTTTGCGACTCCAATCAAATTTATCAAAAAAGACCGCGTTGCTTTCCAATTTTCCGTCTTAAAATTAAAGCACAAGCAGGAAACATTAACATTTTTTATTTGCAGATCAATGCGTGACCGTTAGAAATGGTACTAAAAGTCGCAGACAACGAAGCTTCAATAAAAATAAAAAACACCCAAAGGACGTTTAGTGGGTTTTCCATCAAAGTGAAATTTAAAACGATGCCAAATCTTCAGTTGACTAAAGCAAATCTCCTTATATTAATATTAATACCGTTGTTTAGTGTAATTAGTGTGGTGGAATGCAATAGACCGCCGCGATTCCTGATTGATGGCCAAACCGAAATCGTTTTACGACTGAAGGAAGGAAACGAAACCCAAATTGGTAAGTCAGAACAGAAGCTCGTCCAATTAAGCGAGTTGAAAATGTGGTTTGTGTGTCCAACGTGGATGAGTACCACATTGAAACAGTTCACCGGGTTCTACCGTTTTTGGCCCAGAAACGCTTCAAATGCCGTAATTTGCAATGGCTTTTACACAGTCGAGATTTGAATTGACGAAAAAAACCTGGCGGTGAAATGAAAGTGAAACAAATAAGTTTCTCGTGATGTTCTACTAAAGCAATCATTATTTCAATTAGCAAACTTTTCTGGCGTTTTCCAACAGTGCTGAGGTGGATATTGTTGGGGGATTGGACAAGAAATCGATTATTTGCAGCTTTCTTTGTAATCTATCGGCAAATTTGCAAAGGAAAATTGAATTACTGAATCTACCCTGCTTGATAGCTGAAGCCCTGTTAAGATTATTTATGTTAAGGTACTCTGCTTTACAAACTAAGAGCCTACGATGCAGATGGAGACCGACTTACTTTCGGCGTAAAACCAACTGCAGATAGCGATGTTATAATAATCGACAGCACATCGAACAACGAAGCCAACGTCTATTTGAATAAACTCCTCGATAGGGAGGTGGGCCATCCTCACCTTGTCATGCAAATCGCCATTCTTCGCATGCTTTCATTTGCAGGAACAAGACGAATATCCGCTGGTTCTAACATTAACCGATGGCCACTTGGGCCCGGGAAACTACGTTACGCAAAGTTTACTCATCCTGGTCGAGGATGTTAATGATAATATTCCGGTATTCAGGAGTCATCCCAGCTCGCTATCGATTCGCGAAGACGCCCCCCCAGGTACTAGAGGGATTGAGACTCCATATGAAATGCCGGCATGTAAAATTTCAGGAGTGATCGCTAAACTGGAAGCCACCGATGCGGATGAAGGCCCTTATGGACAAGTGATTTATCAGCCGGCTCCGGATGTGGACAAAAGCTTGTTCAGTGTTAGTACCGTTGGAGACAAGGCCATTGTGAAACTTATAGGTATGGAAATTTAACGGTTATGTCCAGCTCATTTTAGCTACTCTTCCGCCGCTCCTAACTGGTGTTAACGACCAAAAAACAAAAAACCCGATTTTAGGAAGTTTGGACTATGAAAGGCAAACTGTGCATCAAGTGAAAGTTCTGGCAGTCGATCGCGCCAAAGAGGGACGAGTAAATACAGGAACTGCAGTGATTTTGGTGAAGGTGCTCGATGTTGAGGACCGGCCTCCGGAATTCGTCCGGGTGGTGCCAATTTCGCGGATTGCTGAGAACAGTCCTATTGGGTCCACAGTGCTACAAGGTGGGTATATTGAAAATATCTAGTTTTTGAACATCTAGGTAAAGCCCATTTTAGAAATAATATTTACAAGCCACTGGTACTGTAGAGACTTTTTCGCCCCAGAGCGAGTGCTGTAGACGAATGTTTCAGTCCAAGCATCTGTGTGGATTCATGCTCTCGTTCTTATTCATCTTTGTCTGGAAATATTTCGCAAGCCATTTCCATAATAAACTGTGCTCTGCTGGCTTTTGTAAGTTTGTCTGGACTCCCTATCGTCTCTTTGCCATTTCAAGACGCTCCTCAACATTACTAACTGAAGTCTTGATTTTTCCTGATTTTCTCTTGAATTTTTTTCCATTTTCCTTCTACTCCTACTCGTCTTTGTTCAAATGGTTCTTTTTGGTTCCTTGGCATTTTTCGCTCCTTTTTCTTGTACTGCCAAATCCACCTTCATTCTTTACAATGTTGCTTCTAGTTCTTCCTCAACCACTGGAAATTTAGTCATCTCATCCCTTTCAACTTTCTTCTGTTCCAATTTATATACTTGCACCGTCCATTCCTTCTTCACTTGTATGCGTTTGACGACCTCCAGCTGAACAGTCCAAGGAACCAAATGCTCCTCAGGCTTTCCTTTCAATTATGTCCTAGTTCCTCCAACTTCTAGGCATCATGCTCGCCTTCTCGTTCTCTTGCTTTCTTCCCAGGTACTTTCAAGTTTCTTGCAGACCTTCAGTTCTCTTTAAGCACCGAAACCTGCTTCTTCTGCGAACTAAACAACTGAAGAACGAACGATTGAAACTGAAATACTGAAATAATCTTGTTCTGTTCCAGTGATTGCCATAGACGGAGATCGGGACATAAACAACAGAATCCAATACTCGCTCACCACAAATAATATTGAGCATGCAAGGGATATTTTCAGGATTGAAAAGGATACCGGGAAAGTGGTCACTGCTGCACTTTTGGACCGCGAAGCCCTGCCACTGGGTTCCAGCTCGTATATTCTGCAAATAACCGTAGGAGAAGGAAAATTGAAAATTATTTTCCAGCTTTTATTGGATTTTGCATTGTAGGCGACGGAAGTTGGAGGGCGAGAGCGACCGCCACCTTACGCCACAACTGAAGTGACCGTGATGATATCAGATGTTAACGATGAAACCCCAATGTTTAAAAGCAACGTTTACGAATGCGAAATTGCGGAAAATGCCCCGAAAAACACTCCTTTGATGTTTACAGGAAATTCTTTGCCAGAAGTTTTCGACTACGACCAGGTGAGCGTCGGCCCAAGAAAATCATTGGAAGAACTAATGCCAAAAACGTTCAGTGAATTCCTGTAATTGAGAATTTATAAATAGTTCAAAACCGTTTGCTTACTGCGGTTTTAATAACAAGTTTGTTTCAAATTATAATTGGACATAAAGGAAAATGGGTGTCTTTCCCCAATTGCAGGTTTTCCTTGAAACACTCCTAATTTCTAATACAACAACAATACAATACCGCAACTAGAAATTTTTACAGGCCTTAAAAGATTCTTGGAGCTCTATATGCTGACAATATCATTAAAATCGAACTAAATTCTGATTCAGGCGCGCTTTGTAAATGTTGATAAAAAAAATCAGAAGTTTTGCTCAACTGTAAGCTCAACTTTAAAAATTTGTAACTTTTAACAAAACCAAAACTGCAAATCGAAAGTTTCACATTCCATAGACGAAACTTCGATCTGAGCACTTCGCTCTAAATTCTGATTTTTGTACGCTTTGTAGATGTTGATGTGCATACAAAGGTTTTGCCTAACTGTAACCTCTATTTGTACTTTCTCCACTGTACTTTCAACTTTCCTAAGTTCTGATCGAGAGCAAACCACAACTAGAAATTTTTACAGTTTATTCTGATTCATACGCGCTTTGTAGATCTTGATGGAGAAACAGAGGTTTTACCCAACTGTAAGCTCAACTTTAAAAACTCGTAACTTTTAACAAAACCAAAATTGCGAATCAAAAGTTTCATATTCCATAGTTGAAGCTTCAGTCTGAGCATTCACAGAATTTCATTTCAATGGCTCTAAATTTTGACTTTTACACGCCTAGTAGATGTTGATGTGAAAACAAAGGTTTTACCCAACTGTAACCTCTACTTTAAAAATTAGTAACTTCTAACAAAAAGGAACCTTCAGCACGAAAGCTTCATATTCTGTATAAGAAACTTCAATCTGAGTGCTCAGATAATTTTATTTGAATCGCTCTAAATTCGGATTTTTGCACGCTTTGTAGATGTTGACGTAGAAATGGGTATTTTTTCCCCAATTGCAGGCTCTACTTTCAACATTCCTAAGTTCTAATCCAGAGCAAACAACAACTATAAATTTTTAGAGTCCATAAAAGATTCTTGAAGCTCAATACGCTGACAATTTCATCGAACATTCGACATTGAATCGAACTAAATTTTGATTCATGCGCGCTTTTTAGATGTTGATGAAAAAACAGAGGCTTTGCCCAACTGTAAGCTCAAATTTAAAAATTCGTAATTTTTAACAAAACGAAAACTGCAGATCGAAAATTTTACATTCCACAGACGAAACTTGAATTTGATCACAGATAATTTCATTTGAATGGATCTAAATTCTGATTTTTGCGCGCTTTAGATGTTGATGTGAATATGGATGTATTTTTCCCAAGTTGCCCCAACCGCAATCGTTCAAATATGAATGTTTCAGGGGATAAACGGCACATTTCAATTGTACGTTAAAAACGGGAATGAAATCTTCGACTTGACCCCTAAAAGAGCCACCAACGAAGCAACTTTTGCTATTAAGGTGAAAAATAGCACCATCCTGGACTTTGAAAGAGTGAACGTGATCAACTTCACCATCGTAGCAAAAGAGGTAAGTGAGTTTTGTCCAAAACTTTTAAATGGTTTGAAACCCAGAAACATGGAACGCATGCAATTGATGCAGCGACACAAGCAAAACAATGTGGTAGCAGTTAATTAATCTGGCAGAAACAGTCGACAAAAATTCTCCATCATCTCTGCCATTTTTTAAAACTTTTTTAAAAACTCTAGAGTTTTCAGGTGGTTAAACTTAATCCAAAATTCAGCGAGGTGCCGGTAATAGTTAGAATCCTGGATCGGAACGATAACTATCCGGAATTCACCAAAAGCGCCTATGAAGTGTGGGTTCCGGAAAATTGCGATATTGGCACCACTGTGGCTTGGGTTCAAGCTCTGGATGACGATTCAGGAGTGTATGGAACCATGGGAGTCAGATACACGAATATTGGTGGAAGCATTGGAAATTTGTACGTTTTTTTTACTTTCTCTTTGTGTGCATTGTAAAATTTTGAAAAACTCCAGACTCAACATTCATCCAGTTTCTGGAATAATCACGGTGAAAACTGCCGGCGGTCCTTCATGGGACAGAGAGCAAGTGTCCAGACATTTTCTAACAGTGGAAGCAAGAGATGATTTGGGAAACGGAAATCGAAATTCCGTCCAACTGACCATCAATCTGGAGGACGTGAACGATAACAGTCCGATTTTCACTCAGAGCAAATACGAAGCGCGCCTATTGGAGAATCAGGACAATTTTGAAAGTGTGCTCAAAGTCGAGGCACGAGACGCAGATTTAAATGGTTGGCTGCTGATCTGAGACGCTTTCCCTATTAAACATCGATGTTAATTTCAGGGACGAAAAACAGTGAAATCGAATATTTTCTAGTCGGGGAGCTGCACCAGAACTTTAGCATGGAGCCGGCCACTGGCCTCATCAGGCCCAAACATCCCATCGACTTTGAATACATTGAGGGCTCTGAAGAGGAGAACGTGAGGATTTTGTACTTAACTGTAAGGGCACGCGACATGGGAAGTCCAAGTTTATTCAGGTCTGCAAACATTCACTCACAGAAAAAGGGTGGTTTTTTATAGTTTTTTCCTTATCCTAGTGAAGTGCCGCTACTTGTCTACGTGGAAGATGTTAATGATTGTCCTCCCATTTTCAAGCACATGTTTTACAATGCAACTATTGCGGAAGATGTCGAAGGTGCCACCCCAGTGGTTCAAGTAAGCTTTTTAGCAATATTTGTGTCCCATTTGCGCGTACTCTCATTGCTTCTGTGCAAAATTGGGCAAGGAAAGAGGGTTGTCACGCTTTAACTTTTCTGCACTCTGATTTGATCGAGTATTAATTCCAGATTCGTAATTTACAATCGCGATTTGTTCAAGTTGTTTTCTTTTTTTTGTAGCTCAAGGTTTATTTCAGTCTTTCAGTTCTTCATTTCTTTTCAACTTTCTTCATTAATTTACTGTTGATTTTTTAGACATTAAAATTAGAACAATCGAAAATTATTTTTAATTTTTGGAATGTTAAATTTATTTGTATACTTGCTCTTTCATATTTTTTCACTTGATTTATTCGATAATTATTTTTTACTTTAAAAAGAAGCGTAGTACGAAAAAATTTCAAGAAGCTTTTTCTGTTCCAAATTGATCAAAAAGTTGGAAACGTATTTTTGCTAAACGAAAAATTAGTTGCAAATATTTTTTTTTACTTAAAAATATATCATGCATATTAATGTCTTGAGCGTTTGGCCACTCGACTACTGCACTGACTCGACTTTGATTTTTTTACTCCAGAACAAGGAGTCGCACGAAAAAATCTCAAGAGGGTTTTTCTCTTCCAAATTGATCAACAAGTTCGAAACGTATTTTTGCTAAACGAAAAATATCTTGCAAATATTTTTTTTTACTAAAAAGTATCTCATGCATATTAATGGGTTGAGCGCTTGACCACTCGACTACTGCACTGACTCGACTTTTATTTTTTTACTCCAGAACGAGGAGTCGCATGAAAAAGTCTCAAGAGGGTTTTTCTCTTCCAAATTAATCAACAAGTTCGAAACGTATTTTTGCTAAACGAAAAATTAGTTACGTATATTTTTTTAACTTAAAAGTATCTCAAGCATATTAATGTTTTGAACGCTTGGCCACTCGACTACTGCACTGAATCGACTTTTATTTTTTCACTCTAAAGCAAGGTGTTGCACGAAAAAACTCAAGAAGATTTTCCTCGTCCAAATTGATCAGAAAGTTCTAAACGTATTTTTGCTAAACCAACAATTTTTTGCAAATATTTTTTTTCTTAAAAGTATCTCATCCATATTAATGGGTTGAGTTAAACGCTTGGCCACTCGACAACTGCACTGAATCGACCTTCATTTTTTTACTCCAGAACGCACAGCCGCACCAAAAAATCTCAAGAGTTTTTCTCTTCCACATTGATTTTTTCCCAAAAATTTTCGTTAAACAAATTTTTTAGTTTTTAAAAATCAACTGCTTATTATTCACTCGTTTTTTATTTGAAACTGTCCGGTTTGTATTAATATGTTTCGAGCATCTTGGCAGCTCCAACACCCGTTTATCTTCTTCGCCTTCTTCTGTTGCACCTTTGGTCCTAAAATTACACGTTGTTTATTGCTTAGCGGTGTTTAGTCTGTTAATTTGGGGACGAACGTTGGCTTGATGTTAATCTCTTGAGTCTTTACTCTTTAAATTAACTTCAAACTTACAAATGCATTGGGAATTTAAATAAAATCGTCCATCCTGGCATGGTTTGGCGGGAACTTTTTTGTTCTTCGAGCTCTAATTCTGACCCTCAAAAAGTGAGCAGAGAAAAACTAAATGTTTAACTTCTCAGGTTGAGGCTTTCGATTTGGATGGTTCTTCTCCGAACAATCGCATAGTCTACAGAATCCAGCAGGGTGCATTTGACAAGTTTATTATTGATTCTGAAACAGGTAAACACATTTTTGAAGAATATCAAGTTTGTTAGCCGAATTGCCTGATCGTTATAAATTTTAGTTTCCACATCACAGGTTTAAGCACTCTAAATAATTATTTTTCTAGGTGTGATCTCAACAGCCTACGGGGCTAATTTGGATCCGGACTTAACAAAGCCCAGAAAAATGGTTTATCCACTGAAAGTGTTGGCTTTAGACGGAGGCCAGGGCGAGAACCAACTGGCTGCTGCTGTAACAGTGGAAATTTCGATTCAGGATGTTAATAATAAAAATCCCGAAATTCTCGAGCTGGATGAACTTCGGGTTCCTGAAAACACCCCGGTAATTGGATCGCTTCAAATAAAATCAATCAACTTTCATGATGGGTTACAGGTTGGGACCGTTATAGCGAAAATAACTGCCCGAGACCTGGATGAATCTGCCAACTTAACTTACTTCATAGACAAAGAACATTGCCAGGCAATAGACGAAAGGGGCATTCGAGTGAAAAACGAACCAATCAAATGCTTCAGTTACTTTACTCTGGACCCTTCTGCTGGCAGTTTGAGTGTGGCCAGAAACATAGATCGGGAGGAAATTGAGCAGTTTTCTCTTCGGGTGGTTGTGAGGGATTTAAACGCCGAAACCGATCACATCCAGGAAGACGCTTCGACGTTAAAAATCAAAATAGACGACTTGAACGATAATAGCCCTAAATTCACGGAGCCTTTCTACAAGTTTCTAGTCAATGAAAACAGCAAAAACGGGGTTTTAATTGGCACAATTAAGGCCAATGATGCCGATGCGAATAAATCAGTCACCTACGTGTTGGACAAAAGGCAGCATTATGGAAACTTGGTTTTTCTCGATGGAAATACGGGCGAAATTGTGGTGGGAAGTAAGCTCGATAGAGAAGCAACTGAATGGATCAATTTCACGGTGAGTTTAGTGGATTTTAGTTGATACGTTGACACGATTGGCTTACCTTTCATCCACAAGTGGACTGAATATCTTCCATTGCCTGCAGGTAAAAGCTATAGACTCGGGTTCACCAGCTAGAGCTGCTGGAGTGGAAGTGTTTGTTCAAATATTGGACGAAAACGACAATAGTCCAGTATTTGCTCGCGAGCCAACTGCTTTAATGATTCCCGAAGATATTCCTCCGGGTATTGAAAAAATTACCCTGCAAAATAAGTTTCTAAGTGTCTAAAACCGTTTTCAGGTAGTCAGATCACAACGATTAAGGCTACGGACGAAGATATCGGAGAATATGGCAAAATCACGTTCATTCTTGATAGACTATCAGCACAGGGAAAGTTCTCCATTGAAAGTGATACTGGCATTTTGAAAGTGGCCGAAAAACTGGATCGGGAAGAGAAGGGCAATTACTTGCTAATAATTCAGGCTTGGGATAATTATCAGTACGGGTTCAACAGTGGAGAGAGCAGAAATGCTTTTAAACATCTAAAGTAAGTAGGCTCTCTTATTCACAAGAATTTAACGATCGTCTTCTGATGGGAACGTCCACACAAGCTTGCCTCCAATTTTCAGCAAAAGGAAAATTTTACACCGCAGTTTGATGTGAAAATATGTTTTTTAGCGTAACTCTTCTAGATGTGAATGATAATAAACCAGAATTAGTTGTGGATCCTGGTTGCGTTAATATAACGGAGTTCCACGAACCCAAACAACCCATTACAATTGTGAGGGCGTCTGACAAGGATGATCCGAATACGTCCAATGGACAGGTAAATTTTGGGGTGTTTCTCCTAACCGGTCGCTTTTATGCTTTGGAAAATGTAGGTTATCATCGATATTGCGGACGGAAACCAGCAGGATCTGTTCGATTTGAATCAAATCAACGAATGGGCGGCGCAAGTTCGCACCACACGCTCTCTGAAGAGGAGGCATGGAAATTACACGCTGATTATCCGAGCGCAGGACTTAGGAGAGCCCAGTTTCCTGGTGGAGGCTCCATTGCATATTTGTGTAATGGACTACAACGATCATGCCCCTGTTTTCGTTTCGCCGCCGCATAATTCAACACTTAGAGTGCCGGAGGTGAAAATTTTTCGTTCTTTGCAAAGCTCTATTCTGAACTGGTTAATTTATCTGGCAACAGAACGCGACAGTCGGAAGCCCTTTGCTCCAGATTGTGGCCACCGATGAAGATGTAGGCCCAAACGGAGCGGTTCGATATCGGCTCAAAGCTGACCCGGCTGGACATTGGAGGGCGTTCAATTTGCACCCAACTTCGGGAATTTTGGAACTACGATGGCCAATGAACCGGAAAAAACAGAAAATTTTTGATGTAAGCAATCAGCTCTTTTATAAATGCCATGCACTTGAGTGTAACTTTTCAGATTCGTGTGGAAGCTTACGACTTGGGCATTCCAACGTCTCTGAGTTCCGATCTGGATCTGACGGTTTATGTGACCGACATCAATGGGTATCAGCCTCAATTTAGGGAAGACGAATTTATCGTCAACTTTACAGGTGAGGATTCAGCTCTGATTTGGCGTGTAAACTTGTCTCGCTTAGCTCTATTTTCGCGTTTTTTCATCTCTCTAAAACGAGCGCTCACGTCTACAAATATGTTTCTTTTTAATTTTGCATCTCAAATCCTGTCGTGAACTTTTGTAATTCTACATGTGAGGATTTACGGGGAAATGTGTTGAAACTCTAAGAATATTTTGAATGAAAAATTGGTTATCATTATCGGCAAAATCACAATTATAAAATATCTAAAACTGTGTCAAGGCGAAACTTGAAGTTTTCACTTAAGTCTTGCCTCCTAACGTGAAGGTTCAAATGCCGTAAGTTTAAATAAAATCGCACAAGACGCCAATTTTTTAGAAAATTTGTATGTAGTTTTAAGGCTTAAAACTGACGTATCCAATCAGTTCTTGGCTTTCTTTTCAAAATGAACTGGTTCCAAACGAAGGCACTTAGCCACTTGATACCGCAAGTAAACCCTTTAAATCGCACTAATTTTGGATTTTTGCAAAGTACGTAAATTTGTTCAGTTTAGAGCCCACACATGAAGCTTCAAATAAGGTAGTTCCTATTAAAATTTCATTAAAATCTGATTTTTGCAAGCTATGTATAAGCGAGTCTAGAAATGAAAATTTTGATCCAAATGTCCACTCTCTTTAAAAAATCACAACTCCCAAACTATAGAACAAGTAACAATTGGAAAAGTTCACAGTCACTAACCCAAACATGAAGCTTTCAGTCCCGTAGTTCTTATAAACATTGCATAAATTTTGATTATTTAAAACTTATAAAATGCGAGCTTCAAAATGAAGTTTCTGCGGAGTGACAATGTTACTGGATGTAACGTTTTTGTATTATTCTAAACTCCTTTTTGTTCGCTTTGAGAAAAACTCAAACTCACTCCCGATATAGAGCCAGGTTTACTCTAGATCTACAAAATTAACCTTCTAGTTGGCCTAGGAGCTAAATGGCGAATTTTCTAAACAGCGCTGAAAGGAAATTAAAAGCGATATTTAAAAAAAATGCAAAATCCCTGTAAGACTTGGAGAAAATCGAAACGCTCCTCAGATCTAGAGCCGCATTTAGTCAATATTCAGGAGCAAATCGGTTCTCTACCTGCTCCAGAAGCCAAACAGGGAATTTTTTGAAGCCAAGCTTGCATAGTGGCAATATTGAATTTAAAGCTGTTTTTTTTTAATTTACAAAATCCGCTCAGGCGTCTACAAAAAGTTAGGACTCACCCCAGATACAGAACCACATGTACTCTATATCGGACAAAAAATCTCCTGTCTTCTTCCTGTTTAGGAGCTAAATGGCGAATTTGTGAAGCCAGCACAGCGGCAATGAAAAGCTCAAAAAATGCGTTTTTTTTATTCTGCAAGTCTGGATATGCTTTAGCAAAAAACCAAGGTTAACGCCAGATATATAGCGATCTTTGCTCTATATCTGTAAACCAACTCAGCCGTCTAAGTGATCTAAGTGTAAAAAGGCGAATTTTTAAAAGACCGCCTATAGAGCACCTGCACACTGCCAATAGAGAGCAAAACGTCTAATTTAAAAAAAAATCATAATCCTTTAAAGAAAATCCAAATTTTCCTGAGATAGAGCGTTTAATTTACCCAATATTTCTAAATTACAATTAGCTCTCTATCTGCTCCAGGAGCCAAATGGGGAATTTTTAAAACCAAACTTCCATAGCGGCAATTGAGAGATCAAAGGGTTTTTTTATTGAAAAAATTTGCTCAAAATACTGTAAAAAATTAAAACTCACTTTACGTATAGAGCCACATTTGCCTTATATCCAAGAAAAAAAATCAGCTATCCACTTGGTCTAGGAGCTGAATTTTTGAAACATTGTCTACACCGCAGCAACAGAAAGCTCAAAACAGGCTTTTTTTTTAATTCCACAGCTCTAGTGGGGCCTTCGGAAAAATCCAATTAGATCCACCCAAGATATAGAGCGATGGTTGCTCTAATTCCGTGAACAAATTTAGCCCTGTCAATCCTTCGAGGGTGAAATCACGAATTTTTTTATCAGCTGCTATACAGCACTCGCACAGTATTTACAGAGATCCAGAATCGCCGTTTAAAAAAAAATTACAAATTCCGCTTGAGACGCTGAAAAAAATCAAACTTTTCTCAGATAGAGAGCCTCATTTCCTCTAAATGTGGAGACGAAAACCGCTCTGCATCTGCTTCAGAAGCCAAATGGAAATTTTTTAAAATCAAGTCTGCACAGCGGCAATAGAACTCGCAAAGGTCTTAAAAACTGCAAAATCCGGTTAAGCTCTTAGGAAAGGTTTAATGATGATTTTACCGATTCTTAATACCTACAACCTCATTTTCCTGAAAATAAAAATTTTGTGATTCCAATGATGCGATTCCAACTCTTGCACTTTCGCAACGCTATTTTGGACGGGTAAATACTGCAAAACTAGCAGGAATAAATAACTGGTTTTGCCGATGTTTTACGTACGATTTACGTACGAAAAACACTCAGCTTGTTTGTTTAAACACGCAACTTTTAGCTGACAGGATTTTTAAACGAAATGTTAAAAACGCGTCGAATTCGAATTCACAGTTGGATTTCGTAGAACTTTGTTCGCTTGCTGTTGATTAATTCAGCTATTCATGGTCGATTTGGGCGAAACACGCAAAATCACAAATTTTTTCAAAGGAATACTCCTATCAATGATCGACTAGTGATGCGAATATTCGAGTTGGTCCTATAATCAAGGTTCTACTAAAATCTCTTATTTAATAATGGGAATAATACAAAACAACAGCGAAATTGTCTAAAAACATTTTGTCTTAAACTTTCGAGTAAAAAGTAGTTAAAATTCCATTTATAATTAATTTCAGAAAATAAAAAACCTGGATCCGAACTAAAAACTCTACCGAAAACGATTGATAAAGAAGAAATGGAAATTGAAAGTACGCCAGCCCCGATCTGCTACTTCATAGTGGGCGGAAACGAAGATGGTTTATTCAATCTACACCCAATCGATCACACTCTACATGTAAGTTCAAAATAAGTGTACAAAATCCAGTTTTCCGGAAGGTTCTAAACAACAGAGCACACAGACATAAACCTATAGGAATTTTTACTTTTTGCAATGGTTTAACTCAACACTCAACTTAACTTTAACAAACAAAAGTCGAAACCCAAACGGTTGTTTCAGGTAACGCGGTATTTGGACCGGGAAGAGAACGACGTTCACTTGCTTCTAGTGAAAGCCACTGAAGATTGCACGTATCCTCCGGAGCCTCAGAATTTTTTTGACTCAGACGATAACACGCAGCTCAAAGTAATTGTGAAAGTTTTGGATGTAAACGATAATGCTCCCAGGTTTATCAGACGTGTATTCACGGGTAAGTTTTCACAATCTACTGCAGATCATGAGTGAAAATATCATTAACAAAATGTGAAAAAGAACCCAAAAACAAATCCAATGCAAAAAAGGATTGACTAAAACTGAAACGCTTAGGAATCGAATCGTTGGTTGCGCTACGCAAATGGTTTGGTGCGCCAACCCAACGTACCAGCGCAGTAACTCAGTTACGTTCACTCCGTTCAACTCAGTCCGGAAAATATTGATGAATTTGTTTTTAGATTTATTTTAAGGGCCATTTATCAATAATATTTTTAACATTTCTTCAAAATTTCAGAATTTTTCAGTTTTAGCAAAGTTACCCGTTTTTCTAAAGATTCACTTCAACATACTGACAATCTTAAGATATTTTTCGAGAAAAATGATGTTAAATGTATTAGAACACTCGCCTCCTTTGTGGCTTTGTAAAATTTTTCCCTTTTCAGCATCGAATTTTGGACAAAAATCAAATAATTTTCTATCAAAAAATGACCTGAATAAGTGAACGTTTATAATAAATTATTTGGAAAACTCCATTCCATTCCATTCCTCTGAAGACTGTAGAGCTTGTTAAAAAAGTTTGGTTTTTTAGTTTTGACTGATTTTTTTTGCTTTTCTTTCCACTCATAAACGCTCTATTTTGTGAAGTTTCACTTAAAAATACTCACGATTTGAAGGTCTTTTACACGAAAAACTACAAGCTATATCTTTGTAAGAATTTTATAATAACTTTTTAATTAAAATTTTTCCCGTTTCTTCCCGAAAATGATTAAAACTTTCTCAAAAACCGATCACAAACTAACAGTTTTTAATCAAAAATGCAAGAAAAACATTATTATCTGATGATTTTCTTCTTTTCTGGCAATAATACGGTCTTAAATTACAGCCAAAAATTACAAAATTAATTTTGCTAAAAAATTCGCCTCATTCATCGGTTTGCAGAGAACTTTAGAAAACCTATTTCGGCTTCGAATTTGACAGAGAAACCAAATGAATTTATTCAGTAATATGATCAATATTTGGAAAACTCGTCACCCTCATAGCTCTAAAATTCTTTGAAGTTTCATCAAAATTTCCGGATTTTCTCGTTTTAAACCAAATGCTTTCAAAGAAACGTATGCGCAAAAGCAATGGCTTTTTTGTTAGATGTTAAAATTCTGTCATCGGCCATGAGTTATAGCTCATTGACTCAGAGAGCGGCAAGAACTCAAAAGCGCAACTCAAGTCCAGGCTTACGTTGGTAAAGAAGTTGAACAGCATTAGGAAGATTTCTAGCCCTATGAGTTCCAATTTCGAAGCTGAAACTCCTTGTGCAAATATAACTGTCGATTAACACAGTTTTTTTGCCTTTTCTGTGGATTTCCTGTCTAGCTTTCATTTTTTTAAAGTTCATTTCAGATGTGTTTCTTGGTGTTTTCTCTCTTAATGACTCGCATTCGGTTTTATTTTCGTAGCCTTTGTAATTATTGTGTTTGGTATTAAAATGTTGTTTTTTTTTTTGCTAAATACACACCTTCAGCCGTAAAAATGTGGGAAGTGACAATAGTTTCTGAATGATTAGCCTAAGCCTAAAACAGTCGGTAAAAGTCGCATTTTTTGTAAAATATTCGATTTTAACAGACAAAATCACTAAAGTTTCCTGCAAGTACGACTATTTTATAACAAAAATCGCTGGTTTTTAAATCAATTGTGCTACTGTTTGTGATTAAAAAAATTACCCAAATTGTTTTTCCTCTTTTGTTTTTTTAAAAATGCCTAATTTGAGGTAACACTTTCAAGAGCATCAAGAGATTCTAAATAAATCAGTGTTAATAGAATCTCTATTTTTACAGGAATGGAAACACATCCGTCCAAGTAATATAATTTTTACATCATTATAAACTGAATTGAAAAACTGCTAAACGCTATAATCGAATTGATATTTTCTCGTTAAAAACGACGATTTTTCGCCAAAATCTAAAAGTAAAAATAGTTCACCTGAATTGCTAAGACTTTGAAACTGGTCTCAAAAATCGAAGACTTTTGCCAAAAAAAAGTTACTTTTTGAACCCGCATTAACGCAAATTTTACTGAGCTTCTAAACGAATTTGCTGGAAATATATTGATTGGCTAAAAAGACAATAAAATACTTTAAAGTGTTGAAAATATGGACGTGCCTCAAAAAAGCGGATGAATTTAAAAAGTATGTATTAAATGTTTCCATCATCTTGTAGATGTGACCGTTTCATTAAGTTTCTACAAAAGATCTTCGGGCATCCAGTGTGAGGTTTCAGTCGTTTTGGTAGTGACTCTTTGGTGCATTTTCCGCCATCCTGAGCAGAAGAGATACTTACGGGAAATATTTTTCTTTAAATTTAAATTATGTCCAGCTAACTCGCCTCTTCACTAAAGCTTTTCACTTCATTGTTAGCTTTAAGAGCTCTATTTTTTTTAATCCTAGGGGGAGTTAGCACGGCAACATCATTTGGAACGAAATTCATGTCGGTCAAAGCGGAAGACGCTGACTATGGACCCAATGCCCTCATTTCCTATTTTATCATTGGGAGAGTCCAGATGACATTAACCGAAGGTACTGGAACCAAAACCTTCAGAAGGTGTTTTCAATGGTTTTTCAAACACTTAGGTCTAGACAGCTTGATGCGGGCTCCATTTCTGGTGGAAAAAGAAACTGGGTCGATCAAACTCAATTTTGACCCTCAACAGGGGATGAAAGGCTACTTTGATTTTATGGTGCTGGCCAATGATACCGGAGGCCTACAGGATACGGCCAGAGTATTTATCTACCTGCTGAGAGAGGACCAAAGGGTGCGATTTGTGCTCAGGCAACATGCGCCAGACTTGCGGGATAAAATTGAAATCTTCCGAGAGTGAGTGGTTTGGAAACTGTTCTTCTATTGGACAGTGTGATAGTCATACCCTGATATTAAAGTACTTTAGGAAATGTGACCGGAGCCATCGTGAACATAGACGAGTTCAGAATACACGCAAACCATGATGGCACTGTAGACAAAACTCGAACTGATCTGTATTTGCACCTGGTGGACCGACAGGATAATTCTATACTGGAAGTAGCTGATGTGCTGCGGCTGGTGGATCAGAACACGGAGAAACTGGACGATTTGTTTAAGGTAAGTTTGGAAAGTATGGAAACATTGGTCTTGGTCCAGAGGACCAAAAATTTACTTCGTGCATACCTATTAAAAAATATTGCCTATATTTTCCTGGTGGTCGAGCTGATTCCATTGCATTTGCTGCAAAATGACCAAGGTGGAATTGTTTGAATTTAAATGGAAAGTTGTTCTCCGTGAAGTTTAAAGGAAAAATTCCAGTACTTCTGAGCAACGTTTACTGTTGGAATAAAATTGTATTTTTAAAGTTACGTCTAAGTCAGTGCAAAATGATATGAGATACCATTTTAGTAGTTCAGCTTCAATCAAATCAAAAGACAAATCTCAGAAACACCAATTGGTACCTACAAAATTTTAAAATGTTCAAGAGCTCGCGTTTTAGCACCTTAGAGAAAAAGTGAATACCAACTTTTTTATGCACTTTGACTCGCTCTATGCAGTGGTGAGCTCATACTTCTTTCAATATTTTTAGTTAGGAAGCTATTAACGGCTTTTTGGAAGCAACGTTTCTGAAGTTTTCTGTTGTCCAAATCGTTGGAAAAAATACGACTAAAACTTTTCACAATCCGCAGTTTAAAAAAGCTAAGGATTTTTGATAGGAGACTTCGTTAAGGAGGAAAAAATAAAGTATTGAAGTTAAGCAAAATACAGTGTGCATTTTTGCAAATTTCAGCATCTATAGCCAACAGTTGAATCTTTGTTGGAATTTTTTTGAAAATTGCGTTCAATCTCAATTTCTGCAAGCTTAGTCAATGAAGATAACCACCCAAAAGTAGATTCCCTCTTAATAATTCATAACTCCCAAACTAGGCCAAGTCGAAACTTTAAATTTTCACCATCTTTAACCAATACTTGAGAGTTCAAATGCTGCGTTTCTGTTTAGAATCGCATGATAAGCCCATTTTCTGTAAATTTTGCAATTGTGAGGTTTAAAACTGATGCATCGAACCAGTTGCCGAACCAAACTGTCGGCTTTTTTTTTAATTTACAACTTCTAAACGAAGGCACGTGACCACTTGAAGTTTCTGAAGTCTATAGGCCTCAATTTGCGCTTGAAATACTAAAATTCCCATTAAAATCACACAAATATTCCTTTTTAGCAAAGTACGAGGACACCAGTCTCAACATGAAAGTTCCCATTCACATGTTCGCTTTCTTTGAAAAATTCTAGCTTTTCTTTAGCTAATACTTAAGGGTTCAAATGCTGTGTTTTTAGTTAAAATCGCATAAGAAGCCCATGTTTACTATGAGATGTAAAGTTTTTGTATTCTTCTAAACTTATTTTGCCACCATTCCAGACTTCAACAGACGCAAAATATTAGATTCTGCAAAAAGAAAACACACACCAATGGAATTTTTAGTTTCCAAGTCGAAAACCTTGGAATTTTTATTGCTTAAAGCTTGTTTCTGCTATTTAGTTTAATGTTTTTGTGAACGACTGCTCATGTGGTTGATAGAGATTCTTACAAGTTTCCGTGTGTATTCTTATTGGTTTATCAGAGTTCTCAACCCATCCAGGGTTTTGTCAAGTGAAGACGAAAACCCTCATGTATTTCCATATGAGCCTGGTTTTTCACTTGCAACACGTACTTAATTACAATTTTCACTTCTTTGGTGACATTAGCTGAACATTTTTGTGCAGGATTTCAACGTTCTGGACACGCAACCTGCCGGGAGTTTGGCTCTGAAGGCGAAGCTCCAAACCGCGGGAACAACGTTTTGGCTAACAGCAACCTCTTTGTTCCTGTTTCTGCTCCTGCTGCTTATTTTGGCCTTGTTTATTACTCAACGCCACGCATACCAGCGAAAACTGAAAGCTGCCACAGCTACAGCTTATGGTAATAATTGCAGCTGAAAATCCCTGACTTTAGAGAAATGAGTGAAAAGCTTTTGCAGTTCGAGCGGATTCGGACATTGATGGCAGGGGCTTAAGCATGCTCGGGGGCCGAGTTCCCAACACGAACAAGCATAGCATGGAAGGCAGCAACCCCATCTGGCTAAAGGCTTATGAGAATGAATGGTACAAAGGCCCTGATGACCTGAGGTATGATTTTTTTGAAACAGTAGCTTGATTTTGCATTAAATCCTTCTACAATGTTTCAGCAACACTTCGGACCCGGATTCACTGGATGAAAACGTGATTTGCGACGGCGAGGCAACAGAATCCATCGAACACGTGCCGTCAAACAGTTGCGAGAATTTAACTTCGGATCTACTGGCAAAGCCAAACATTTATCACACTTTGCCCATGCCCGTTCCACAGCCACGCAAACTTGAAACCACCGAATTATGATCGTTCGTCTGTGGAAACTTGGACTAGACAGCATTCAGCCACTAGTTTACATCGTGGAAGAAGTTCCGGAAGAAGGAAATTTTGAGTGTCGTCCCATGAGGCCTTAGTCGGTCAACTTTCGCCCAACATCGACGCTTTATAGAAATTCGTTTTAACTGTATAAAAAGCGAAGATTTATGATTGGATGTAATTAAAAGTGTGATTTTTTGTGCGTTGTTTTATTATATTACAGGGTGGTTTTTAGTGCGAGAGAGTCCATTCTTTCGAAAAATAGTTTTATATAAACGTTGTTGACGCACAAAGTGCGCACATTTTAAAAATATTTTATATGTTACAGAGTGTCTCAGAAAAGCCAGGCAAGATCAAAGTGAATTTTTGAAGTGATAACTTTTTATGGGAGGGTGAACAGATTTTTCTCGGTAACGGCGGTTCCCACTCCGGCCTCTTCGCGCCTGAGGCCTGAGGCTTGGGACGCACATATGCACTTTTTTGTTAGTCCGGGTGCATCTGTAGATCTGATAAACTTTTCAAATACACATTGCGTTATTAACCTGACAGTGATTTTGATTTATCAATTATTGAGTATCACACTCATTATTGTGTTCGGTGCAGTTTATTTTATAACGCTGATAACAATGAAAACAAATTATCAAGGGAGAAGCTGCAGATACTGCAAATACTAGGTTAAGGGTGCTCATGTACTAAATGCCTATTCGAGTTTCGCCATCTTTTAAATTTTCAATTAAAGTACACACACAATTATACACACTAAAGCAGTTTAAGTGCACAAAAATGCGGATCCTCCATCAATTTGCAGAAAAATGTATTACAAACTTTTGAAAATCATGTTCAAACGACCGGGTATTTATCATTGCAAATGAGATTGCACATTGCCGTGTACTGTTAAATATTGTTTTAAGAACTAACAATCGATGTTGTGCAACAAAATTGTGCCTAAGATCCACTACAATAAAGTTTTTGAAAAACTGTTGGACCTATTTTAAATCGCCTGATTGATTGTGGACGCTAATTCGTATCAAGGAAAGATTAAAATAAATTAAATCGCATCGATAGAATCCCGGTACCGATTCCCTATGTCTTACTCTCCGTCTGTAGTCCAGATGCTGCCCAGATGATGTCCAATTGCATTGTATTGCACGATTCGGTAAAATATTACTACCTACTTGTTTAGTGATTTTCATCGGACATAATTGTGAAACCAGATGTTGAGCGGATATTTTCTAAAGAAGCTAGGGTGAATTTATGAAAAACGCTCAAGATTAAGTCCAAATAGAGTGTCACAACTATTATTAATATCTTTTAATGCAATAATATGTTCTATTATTTGTTATTTTATTTTGTAACAACAAATTATCAAAATTTATATATCTGTTTTGTAATATTTCATATTTAACATAAAATGATAAACATCATTACAGTTTTGTAATAATATATAATAAATACGTTTTGAATTTAATTGAAAAATATTTGAGTTTACCTCGGTTATTTAAAAAAACATGGGTTCCGTCTTCTTATTTTCTATCACGCAACGCATTCTTGATGTTAAGACGATACGAATCTCTCTTCAGCTTATATTTAGAAAATATGTCAAACAAATTAATTTATTTTTTAGTCCTATTCAGATACAAGTTGTATCAGACGTTCATGAGCAACATACACAAGAGCAGTCACAAAAACATGCTACAATGCGAAAAGTATTAAGTAATGCTGAACGCCAAAAACGATTTCGTGCTAGAAAAGGAGCAGTCAGTAATAGATCAACTCAAAGTAACTTTTATCAACCACGAACTAGCGCTGAACGTCAAAGATTATACAAAGCAAATAAGAAATTACGACTAAAAAATATAGAAACTCAAGAAGAAGAGTTTACAAAAACCCAAGAAGAGCAATATGTGCAACATCTCGTTAAAGAATGTTAAATGTTGCAAATAAAAAAGATATTTTACATTCAAAAGAAAATTAAATTTTACCTATTCCTGATGCATTTATAAATTATTAGACTAACAAAAATATTAAAATTAAAAAAATTAATTATTATTGCCCATCATGCGTTAAACAAGTTCAATATTTTATGGTTTATATAAATATATGAAGTTATCACTTCTGTCGAGCGTCCCGTGACGCACACCATTTTTTTTTTTAATAGAACTAGCCATTTTTTATTAGCTCATGAAATGCAGCTTGAAACGCTGCATATGCACCGTAAATGTTTTTTTCTTACTTGCGACGATGACAGATTATCGCCATTTTAGTTAAATTTTGCTTCAAAACATGCAAAAAAAGCAGTTAAAGATACAAAAAATACGTCTTTCCAATCACCACAGATCCGTTAAGAATTCTATTGAACAGGGTGTTAACAATGCGGACTTCAATGTAAAACTTTTTAACTCAAAATAACTTTTGTTTTTCAAATGGAAGTACCTGTATATTAATACGACATTAGATAGACAATTTACAAAGCTACAAATTTGCATTTACACTTTAAGCTGTGAAATCAACAGTTTTCAGATTATAATTTATTTAATTTAAAAATTTCGTGTTTGAAAAGTGTGAAAATTTGATGAAAACCACCCTGTATCTGGAAACTTAATGAGAACCAGGCACTCTAACATTTATTTTCTCTAAAAGGGGTAAAAAAGGGTGTTTTCCATACTCATTCTGAGTGGGCAGCGTGCAGCTCTGCGTCCACAGAAACGGAAAAAAATGGGCGTAAGCAACAAACAACTAAATAAAACATTTATTTCATTATTGGTAATATCACAGTGGTGTCTTATGTAATGAAAAATACTAAAACCTCTCCACAGTATGCTGCTGCTTTTCCGGCTCTCCAGCAGGGAGAATTGGCCTTCCAATCATTTCCGCCTCGTAGACCGTATCCGGCAATTTCTGGTGCAACGTTTCGGGAAATAATAAAGTCAACAGTCCAGCTAAGATGGACATTGCGGCGAAACTGACCAAGGGCAAAGGCTCCCAAAACTGGGCCTGAAACATGTGGCTTTTGATGTAAATTTTCATCCAAGTGAAGACATTACCAGCAGAGGAGTTTGCGGTGAAATCATGGAACCGCAGCGTCCAAACGTGGAACATGTTCCCATAAAAGAGTGCCTCAAGTTGGTAGGAAACATTTCACTGGTGATTATGTACAGGATTGTGAATGACGCTGTGGCCCCGAATTTACCAATAAGGTACACTGATAAGCTCCCCCATCTGGAAGCTGCATTATTCACAATATTAATTCATGCAGATGCTTTTCACTAAGAACTTGTGTGGGAAACGTGAGGAAATTCTCCTTAAAAGGCAAAAACAACTAAACTAAAAAAAAATTGAGAGGCTCACCTGGTGGAATAAAAACGAACGCCAAGCAAGCAGCTCCAGTCAGCAAGTAACTATAGACCAGCGTTTTCTTGCGTCCATATTTGTTCACTATAAAGTTGCAAGCGAAATAGGCTGGAATCTCAACCAGCGCTGTAAAAAATTGTTAGTCCCTAAGCATAATCGTGCAAAAGTGGTAATTACCAGTCAAAATAAAATCCAGATAATTGTTGCCGGCAACAAGAGAAACGGAGTTTAGAGTCAAGCCATAGAAGAGGAAAGTGCAAGTGATCCAGCAAACGCAACAGGCCACCAGCCTCAGCATTAAAGTGCCAGATTTGACTGCTTCTAACACCAAATTGCCTGATTTTCCTAAGCTCTCCGAGGACTCAGCTTGATCTGCAAAAATACCTTAAAGTCTATTTGCGCGGAGTAACCATTTACCAGCTTTCCCCTACTCAGAACGACTGCATCCAGAAATTCCAGCTCCTTCTCCGAGATTTTCTTTCCGTTCACTTTTGCTGCTTTTCTCAATGTTTTTTTGGCCTCCTCAATCCGGCCATTGCTGAGGTTCCACCTCACCGACTCCGGAATCAGCCACAAGTAGGAAACGAGCAGAAATATCGGAATGTAGGAAGTTAAAACAATGTACCTGCAAACATTATGCACATTAGTTTGGAGAAAGCCCAACTGGGCGTCGGAAACCTACTTCCAGGACTTCACCAACCAAGCGATTAGCGCCACTAGGATTTCACCCACTGCGTAGCAAGAGCTTATTAGAGTCCCTGTAAGAACCCTCTTGGATGGCCCAACTAGTTCAGCTCCTATAAGCCCCAAAATAGCACTCAACCAATGCAAAGTTCAACTAGTTTTACCCAGGACAAAGCCGCAAATGTAACTGCCGGAACCAAATGCGGCGTCCAGAAATTCGAAAGTCAAGAACCACTCATATGTGGGCATAAAGGCTTTGGCGCAACCACAAACTGCACACAAAATCATGCCCCAAACCAGCAGGAATTTTCTTCCGTACCTAAAAACGCCGCGGATAAACCAATCATTTCACCCACATTTCGCTTCACATTACTTGTCTGATATAATTCCAGAAATAATCAGGCCAAAGAATTGACCGATGTTGTTTACGGTGCCTACCATAGTCAATTTCCATAAATTATTGTCACATTGAAGGCCGTACTAAAAAAATCAGTTAATGCGGCTTCTAGATAATTAGGAAAAACCACTGCGACAAACATAATTTGTTGATAAATATATCCATCAGTTAGTTTGTAAATTGGGATCTTGAAAAATAAATTTAGTAAAAACCAAAAACGGTTAAATCTTCTACACAACCAGTTTTGGGTAATTATTAAAGCAGAGGCACAACTGGCAGGTTTAAAGTTTTTTGACTTGCAAATCAGTGTTATGCCCAGACGGCTCGGAACGAACAAATCCATTAGAAATGGCTTGGGAAATAAATTAGTGATAAATTGCTAAAGTGCTCAACAGTGGATATTAGAAGACAGCTTTGCAAGCGAATTTTCAAAAAGTTGTCTCCACTGAAACAAAACTGCGATTCTCCCCAGGAAAATGAGATTTCTAGAGAAGAACTCTTCCTAGTTCGTTTGGACCGGAGAACAAATATTTTTTATTGCGGATGCTAAGCACTGACCAACAGTACACCACTTTGTGTGGTAACTTGTAAAAATTCGCCTTTGCTCAATGTAAAGCGCGATTTTAAGCCAAGCCTTTGCAAAGAATAGAGAAAATTGTCCTCCTTTCAATGAGATAAATAGACTCTTTGCACCTCGTTTCGTTTAAGAACTAAAAATGTGTGAATTTGAGCCGGCAATTATGACCAGGAGGCAGATTTGCAAACCGTCTTTGTAAAGCGTTTAAAATTCGATCTAAATTAATTAAAGTGGACTCACCCCAAGCAGTAGTCAAAAATGGTTGAAAGGCAGGTTTGTAATCCCATTTTTTCAATTTATTTAAACTCAAAGAACACGATAATTTTAAAGCCCTACTTCTTAACATATAGTCAAAAGTATGCTCTCTTCAATAGGATAATAGGAATCCCCTTAGCTCCTCTAGTTTAAAAGCAAAAAAATAGTTAAGTTAAATTTTCCAAATAAGGGCTAGTAGAAGGTAAATTTAGAAGCCAATTTTCAAAACTTTGTGTCTACTCAAAAATAACAGGGATTTTCACACAAAAATTTGATTTTTTGGAGAAAAACATCCCCTTCCTGTGGTCAATATCTTTTCACCTCATTTAACTCTGAAAATAAAATATTTTGAATTTGTACCTGCTGATCAGAGACGACTAGCAGGCAAATTTCAAACATAATTTGAAAAATTCGTCTTAGTTCAAGGAAAAGTGCTTTCGTGACAAAAGGTCCTGTTATTTAAAGAAAAGTGTGGGCTTCCCAGTGGGATAGGTCATCTCGCTAACTTATCCAGGTAGGAAAAAAATGAAATTGGACTTCTCTGTCTTTGGAGGGCAGATTTACAAGCTACTAATAAAAAAATTACGTCAACTTTAAAAATATCGAGATTTTTGCTTCAGAATTGCGATTTTTGGAAAGAAATATGCTCTTTCCAGTGACGTGCCAACTACCTTTCGAGCTCATTTGACTCGGCTGTTACAGTTTCTATTATAAGGCAGTTTTGCACGGTAGTTTTAGAATTCGCCTTGATTCAAGGCGCAATTTCGAAAAAAAATTTATGGTACAAATCAGAAGTACCTACGCTGTTTTGTCGTTTTTTTCGTCTACCAAACAGTGGCTTTAGTAGGCAGGTTTGTAAGCCAATTTTCAAAAAATTGTCCCCACTGAAACTAAACTGTGATTCTCCTAAAATAATTGGGATTTTTAGAAAAAAACACATGCTCTTTCCAGGAACGTCCACATTTGTTTCTAGTTTATTCGACATAGTAGATGAAATATTATTAAATTGCATCTGCTGAACACTGGCCATTAGTGGGCAAATTTGAATGCTTGCTTTTAAAAAATCGTCTTTTCCCAATTGGGCGATTTCAGAAAAATCTTTGCAAAATATAAAAAAAGTTTGCTCGTTCCAGCGAGATAAATAATTTTTTTGCCGCTTTAATGGCGCGAGCAGAGGAAAGCATATATAAATCCGGATCTGGCTTGAATTTGAGTTTGATCTTTAGGCGGCTTTTGAACAACTTATCAAGCTGCACGAGCTCAAAGTTTCATAAAAATAGAGCAAAAGTCTGATCTGAGAGAGTTCTGCTGCGATCACATCTTCAACGCGAATTTTTTACTCATTTTCCAAACCGTTCTAATAAAATTGTTGCGCCTTAAACCTGCCAATTGTTCAGCTTTGTACTTCAATCAGCAACAGTTCGACACGAATAAAGTTTTTTGTTTCACAAAAACTGTTTAAAAGTTTAAGAACCCTTACTTCTTGTAAAATGGTTTCTTCTGTTCCATTATAAACAAAACTTCCACATCTTTCGAGCACTTGAATATCGAATCCAGCTGAAGAACAATTATTGAATTGATCCGAAGAAGCATATCTTGAGCATTTGTCCGGATGATTATTGATGAATGGAATGGCATGATTAAGCCAAGGCTGCAAATATTCTGCTTGGCCTTCCTGGTCGCACTGGGGAATTTTGCATCTGCAAAAATAAACATTTAGCTATAATTTAGTGAACTTCCTCTAGCCATCCGCTCAGCCATTATATTACTGTGGCCATTACATTTGATGACTTAATTTATTTATGCTTTATACTATCAATTGTGCCTAATTTGGCCCATACCAAATTGGATAATAGTACGTGCTATCATTTTCTGTGACCTTTTGCAAACCGTCTTCACTGTCGAACGAGATGCAGATTTATTCAATGGCTGCGACACGTTTTAATGCATTTAAACCTGCCTCTGATCTTGACTTAGTTTTCAAGATCGGCTTTTATACCATAACGTTTTATAAATAATTTAAATGTATTAATTTTTTTTAAGTTAGCCATTCAACGCCATGGTCAGACTTATAATTATGCCCAAGTGGTTGCAGCAGAATTTCAAATAACTTTCCCACTATTTGAGAGCTTTAAATTTTAATTACTATTAATTGTTTTAAATGCGATCTACTTAATATATTGGTGTTGATATCAGTGGTGTTTAAAGTAAATTTCCTTTAATAACGATACGCCCCCCTGTAGATGTAAGCCACTCGGCAGCGGCTTCAAGCTAGGCCCGGGTAACACTGTGTTGAGTTGCGCTATTGAGTTGTTGCCGCTCTCTGAGTCACGAGTTATAACTCATCGGTTCATGAGTTATAAGTGATTCATTAAAGCTTTACGAGACCCGAGACTGAAATTTTCACATCTAAAAAAGATAATTTTTCACATCTTTTCTGAGTAACGTTTTACTACTTTGTTCAAACAACTTTAAAAAAGTCATCTAGATTTTTCCAGCAACAGAACTAAGTCCAAAGAAAGTCGACGAGTTTTCTTGTAAAATCGAATCTCTTAATTTTTTGCATAAAAGATTCAGTTTGCAAGTATTTTACAGTAAAACGTTGGGAAAAACGCGGTTTTGCTGTTTAGAGACAGTGTTGTTCAGAAATATTGACCTAACAGTGAAGAAACTCCAGTTTCCAAGATTTTGCAAATAAATGATTATAAACTTTCGCTTTTTCAGTTTGGGGAAATATTTTTGGAAAAAGCCCCAGAAATTATTATTAGGGTTTTATCCATAAGCGGTTAAGGAGGCGAGTGTTCCAATAAAATGTATCTTATAATTTTTCACAGATACCTGAAGTGTCAGTATTTTAACTAAAAAATATTGCGATTTTTGCCTAGAAAGAATTGCTTAATAGAAACTTTGTTAAAACTGGAATGGCCTGAAAATTTAAAGGAACTTCGCGATAGGCGGCGAATTTTCCAAATACTTTTTTTCACTTTTGCTCTCTGGTCGTTTTCGGTTTTGGAGAAAACTTTAATGGTTTTCGGGCAAAAACGGGAGGAATTTATTTCTGTTTTTGTCCCGAATTAGACGCTGAAAAAAGTTTTTGTACATTTTTTATAAAGCTATAAATGCATCTTGTAATTTTTCGCGCAAAAGACCTCCATATCGTCAGTATTTTTATGTAAATCTCTACAAATAGAGCATTTTTGAGTAGAACGTGAAGGAAAAAAAATCATCAGTTAATACTGAAAAACCACATTTTCCGAACAAACTTCTTCAGAGGTATGGAGCTGACTAGATTTCGAAGTAATCTGTTATAACTTTCGCTTATTCTGTTCGCTTTTTGCTACAAAATTATTTTATTCTTGTTTCAAATTCGAAGCGGGAAAAGGATTTAAAAAGTTTTTACAACGCGACGAAGGATTCGAAATTTATTTCATCATTTTTCGCCGAAAATCCCTTAAGATTGTCAGCATTTTTCAGTGAAACTTTAGACAATTGAGCATTTAGAAGAAAGAGCAACTTGCCTGAAACTGGAAAAGTAAATAATAAAATTTTAAATAAATCTAAAAACAAGTAAAAAGTCATCAACATTTTGCCAGCAACAGAACTGTGTCACTGCGCCGGTGCGTTGGGTTGGCGCACCAAGCCATTTGCGTAGCACTGTGCCAACTACAAAAAATTCACTGAGTTAGCCAGGCCTACCTCAAGCTCGAAAAACTCACTAGTTTTATACAGAAAAAAATGTATTTGTTATCTTGTTCAAGTTCTGGCAAAAACGTTTAATTTTTCCTTATAAACAGCCCGTTTTTTAAATATTGCTTTAGCCGTGGAACATAATGTTTAAATAGATTCTTTCGCAAAATTCAATCAGGCAAGCCGGATTTTTGACTAATTTAAATTATTATATGTGACTGGTGTAAACATCACGACCAAATTATTAATTTTAATGCTTCAATTTTTGAAATGTATGATTTACACGCGGATAATAATGATAATTTGCCGATTATTTGATTAAATCTTGCAATTAGTGACGGTAAAAATGATTATTCATGTAAAACCCGGTATTTTTATGTGCATGCTAATTAGTACTTGGTTTACGCCAATTCGATCAATTATCATCCTTTGGTGGGATTTTGAATGCAAATTGTAATGAAAGTTTCTGGAAAGTGGGCTAATCGCTCTTCGAATCACCTGAAGCGCAAACACTCTACCGATTAGAACTTGTTGAGAAAAGCAAATTTATCGGTATTTTTGAATACTTAAATATCTAAAGTCCAAAACGTTTTTTATATGGGGAAACAAATATCGTAATTCTTGATGGCACTCGAAAATTTGCGAGAGACGCCGAGTGGAACAAAACATCATCGAAAGCCTACATTTAGAGTGTTTTACAGTTTTTTTTTTGAATATGGAAAATTATTGGGCAAGATTTATAAGTAAGTAACTAAAGCTTCCAACAAAAATAATCAAAAATAGGAAACGTATTTTTCACCTGATTTTCAAAGTTATTTCAGGTAAAAAAATTGAGTTAAAAAACGTTAATTTAGTATTACTTTTCTAGAATTTTCTAAAACGTTGCTGTTTTTGTTGAGTTTTTACTCAACAGCTCCACAAAACCAATTAAAATAATAAATCCAAAATATTCCTTGATATATAATCAAATACCCTCTATGATCAACCCTCTGAATTTCCGAATTTCAATTTTGACAAAAAAAAATATATCAAAATAAAATTATAAGAAATTAAAGAATTAATTAACAAAATTTCATCTAATAAATTTCAAGAAGCTATTCTAGAAGAACATAACAGAAATCATAATAAAGATAAATTAGACAAAATATTAATAAATCCGTTATTTAAAAATAAAGTACGACTATGAGTTCGTTCATATAATAAATTTTCCGAACAAAATAAGTCTAGACCTTAAACCATGAGCCAATATCAAAATTTAAGCGAAATTAAGCAAAATAATTGCGTTTCTTAGTATTAATTAGCGACTGATCATTAATTGTTCCGAATTGTTTAGTATCCGCTAATAATATTTTGAGCGCAAAATCAGTTTTGCTAAACAACTCTGAATGATTATTTAAATGGCCAGTGAAATGCGTATTTTACCATCTTTTAGCGGCAAAATAATTCAGCAATTCTTACCTGTAATCTAAGTTCATGGCAGTAAACACATAAGCTATATGGACCATCGAATGCATAACTACGGCTACACAAACCAAACTGAACACATAAGTTTGATATTTGCCAAAATCCCCCAAATGGATCAGAATTGAATCTAATGAGTTGTCCACATTTGCAGCCCTTTTTCGCATTTTTGCCCTTTTATTAATTGATTTTTTTGTAAAGCGACGCACCAACCGAACAGCGAATTATCGTAAATCGGACTAGAAGGTACCAATTTCCAGTTGCGGATGTTATATTAGGTGGCAGAGGTTCCCACCACACAATATAGGTACCGTTTACGGCTAACACGATAAGACAATCATTCTTTTAAAATAACAAACACATGGATTATAGTATTAGATGTACATTGTTAGTGCTTATGGCCGATCGTAAACTTAGCTTCCTGTTAAATACGCACAAGCTCAAAAATAATTTCTTCGCAGTTGGAATCCAGAAGGAAATATTTTGAGTTGATTTTCCAAATTTTCTGCAAAGCGTTTGACAAATATGTGCATTTTTAGGTGATTAATGTTAATGAACATTTTTATTTTCTGGCGCCGAGTGCTTATGTATATTGGAATTAATTTACTGTTATCACACGCATATAGAGAAACTTTCAGATATAATCCATATTACAAACCAGACAGATCTGGTATTTATGTAAATTGGTACGTTAAAGCGTCCCTTGACATTTTTAAGCGATGAAAATGAATGGTGATTTTCTCCTGGGATTTCTTGTTTTACTGGAACAAAATGCTCTGGCCTCCAATTTGTGTTGCAAAACTTTGTCATGATTTTCACTACGGTTAATTAATAGGGACAGTGCGCTGCTGCGTGAACCAATGGAAATTTACAATAAATTATAAAAAAATACATTTTTCGGTCTGCGATAAATAAAACGCGAAACCGTTAAAATAGTTATTTAATTGATTAAAAAACACAACAGTTTTGCGATCATGTCATCTTTACAAACTCCAAATTGCACTGAAAATTGAGTGTGATTTTCCATTTATTCAGGTCAACGTGTTTTTTCTTTTGCAATGTTTTGTTGAGCACATGGCTTTTACATGTGTTTTATTTTGGCTTATTCACTACCTCCAGACGTAATTGTGCAGGTCCTGGCATCTGTGCGTGTCTTTGATTTTAGCCTCTGGTGTTTTTCTTTGCAGAATTTTATCAGGAGTGGCATTTTTTCCTTCTTTCCATCGGGAAAATGGCAGGAACACAAGAAATCGCCTCGTCCAGGTTCAACGTTATGCCTATATAAAAAATGCGATAAAACTCATACATAAATCGAAATTAAAAATATAAAAACGCAATAAAAAGTATACAAAAACGCAATCTGACTACTTGAAGGATGTACTTACTTTAACAGTTGCTTCCATTTTCTTCTTAGCTTTGGGTCTTTGGGAAATTTGAAAAATGAGCAGGAATCCGTTTGATTGTAGTGCTTACAATTGAGCACTCGGCACATGACCATTTTGCCATAACTGGAAGAAATTAAAATTGTAACTTACCATCCAACTGCTCTTATTGTATAGTAAGTAAAATCAACCAAACAAGTTTTTTGTAATGCAGTGTGTCTGTTTTAATATGTTATATTGTATTCTTTGAAAGACTCATATTTTTTTCATTGAAGTGTCGTCTATAGGGTGAGCGAATTTCAAGTTTGCTACTTGCTCAGGATGTAAAGATAGCAACTTTTAAAGGCGAATATGCAGTTGAGTACAAATTTCGTATTTTTGGACTTCATTCTCCAGACCGGAAAAAAATTTGGATTTTGCGGGATTTTAATAAAATTTGCAGACTACTTAACATGAAAATTATTCTATAGAGTGTGCGAAACACAAGTTGCTACCTGTGCTGGATTGATATTTGGGATTTTTTTAAGGACGGTGTGAATTAGAGTGGAAGTATTCATTTGAAGCGTTGCGTTTACAGGGTTTGCGAAAATCAGGATTTCGTGTAATTTTTTTTAAGACGTTTTCCTTGAAGTGTCTTCTATAGGGTGTGCAAATTTCAAGTTGCTGCTTGCTCCGGATTGGAAGATAGCAATTTTTAAAAGCGAACGTTCAATTCAGCGAAAATTTATTATTTTTGCCCTTCAATCACAGGGTTGTAAATAATCAGAATTTTGCACGATTTCCATGAAATTTTCATACTGTTTGGCTTGAAAATTCTTCTATTGAGTGTGCAAAACTCAAGTTGCTACCTATTCCGTATTGGACAATGACCATTTTTAAAGGCGAGCGTGCGTTAAAAACTTGTTTGATTGATCTTATTGTATAATTTACTCGTCTTTTTGCGTGGGGTTTTGTCCAGCTGGCTCTAAGGCTGATGGTTCCAAGGCATAATAACTATGATCGTCTGCTGGAAAATTGGGGTAGAATTTTCGTTCATCGTGCAGTGCAAGCAGTGGCAAATTTTCCTTTTTTCCATTCGGAAAATGACACGAACACAAGTAGCAACCTGTTCCAGGTTCCTCATCACGCCTGAAACGAAGTGTTTTTTTTTTAAGAAACTACAGTTGAAAGCACATTTTAAGAGCAAATTTATAGACATTTTTCCGTAGGTATAAGGCATAAGCGGGCCGGCAAGGTAGCCGCTTTTTTTGAATCACACTGTAAACCATACCTTACTAGTGACATCCATGTTTTTCTTAGCGCTGGATCCTTCGGAAATCTAAAGAATCTGCATTTTTCCCTGGCATTGTAGTGACGACACTCGAACGCCCAGCACATTACCATCTTGGGTGTCCTGAAATTACCATACATTTTTCTCAAGTTTAGAACGAAATGTTTCTTGCAAAAAGTTTTGGTGTTGAAAAAAGAAAACCGCCAAGTCCATGAAAAAACTCTAATAGCTAGAACAAAACACACAATGGGACAAATTATGGACATCCATTGGACATGCAGGATTGATTAATGTTGTCTGGGTTCCCCATCGGGCACAGCACTGATTGAATACGAAAGTTTATCTTCGCCAATTTTGGAAGGTCTTCATCGCGCAAACTTAGACGCCAATTTAATTTTAATGTATTTATTGTGCCCTTTGGGCACGGCACTGATTGAAACCAAACATTTCATAATTCACCATTTTAGTAGGTTTTATCTAGCAAACCAGTGTCGCGCACGAAAATCGAAGTTTTTGCTGGAAAACCACTAAACTTTCATGTATTTGTTGTGCCGAACCCTTCGGACACGACACTGATTAAAAACAGAAATTAAAAAATCGACAATTTTATCGTACACATCAGTGACGTGCCTGAACGGCGCGGCCCAAAAAAATTATTACGTTAAAACAGACCTTGTTCGGATCTCCGGTGGTGGAATTTGAAAAAGTGCTCTCTTAGCCTCATTGTGGGCAAATATTTCCGGGCAATTCGCTTTAATGCCATCGCGAAAGTGGCAACTGCAAACGTATGCGCCTGGACCGGGTGTACCGTTTCTTCTAAAATTTATTTCAAAAATTCTACCGCTTTATAACAAAATATAAATATTACCTCAGTAAACGTATCCATTTATTTCTTTTTTTAGGTTCCTTCGGGAATGAAAAAAATCGACACCGTTCCCGGATGTTATAATGCTTGCAGTCTGGAGCCCAGCACTTCACCATTTTAATACCCTGAAAAGTGTTTGCAAATGTATTTAAATAATACCGTATTGTGCAATTCTATACAAAACCAGGCGATATTTATAGAAAATTTCATAACAAACAACATTTTTCCTATATATTTTCCGGAAAAAGGCCGTTTTCTTTTATGGTTTTTATAATTTTTTATTACGTTTAGAAGAAAAATTAAAAAGCTGTAGCCGAGTTTTCTCGGTATTGCTGAACTTAACTTAAAAATGATCAAGTTAAAACGATATATTTTCGAGGCTCTAAGCTAGGCTGGGCAACCCAACGCACCCGCACAGTAACTCAGTTCCGTTGCTGCGGGTGCTTGATGATCACTTTTTTACTTGTTTTTAGATTTATTATTATATTAAGGCCATTCATTAATAATAATTTTTAAATTTCTTCAAAATTTCAGAATTTTACAGATTTAGCCAAGTTACTCTTTCTTCTAAATGCCCAATGTTCTAAAGTTTCACTTAAAAACGCTGACAATCTTAAGGTATTTTCCGCGAAAAATCATGAAATAAATTTCGAATCCTTCGTCGCTTTGTAAAAAGTTTTGAAATCCTTTCCAGATTCCCATTTGGAACAAAAATCAAATAATTTTCTATCAAAAATCAAACAGAATAAGCAAACGTTTAGACCAGATTATTTGGACACCTCGTCACCTCCATTCCTCTTAAGACTGTAGTTTGTTTTGAAAAAAATTGTTTTTTAGTTTTCACTAAATTTTTCTTTGCTATGCTTTCTACTCAACAAACGTTCTATTTTGTAGAGTTTCACTTAAAAGTACAGACGATCTGGAGGTCTTGCACGCGAAAAATTACAAGATAAATTTATAGCTTTGTAAAAATTTTACAAACACTTTTTTCAGCGTCGAATTCGGAACGGAACCAAATTCCTCCCGTTTTCCCCGAAAAACATGACGGTTTTCTCCCAAATCGATCACCAAACTCAAAGTTTTTAATCGAAAACGCAAAAAAACATTATTTTCTGATGATTTACTTCTTTTCTGACACTAATGGGGCTTTTCAGCCAAAAATTACAAAACTAATTTTTCTACAAGATTCGCCTCATCAATCGGTTTGCAGAGAACTTTAGAAAACCCATTTGAGCTTCGAAGTTGTACCAAAACCAAAGAATTTTATTCAGTTTTTACGGAAAAAACGACCAGAGAGCAAAAGTTTAGGAACAATTATTTGGAAAATTCGCCACCCTCATCGTTCTAAATATTTTTGAAGTTTCTTTAAATTTTTAGGTCATTCTAGATTTAACAAAGTTTCTATTAAGCAATTCTTTATACGCAAAAATAGCATTATTTTTTAGTTTTACTTAAAATACTGGCAATCTTCAGGTATTTTCTGTGAAAAATTATAAGATACATTTTATTGGAACACTCGCCTCCTTAACTGCTTTGCAAAAATTTTTGGAAAACTTTTTGCAGCTTCGAATTATGGACAGAACCCTAATAATTATTTCTAGGGATTTTTCCAAAAATATTTCCCCGAACTGAAAAAGCGAATGTTTCTAATAAAATTTATTTGGAAAACTCTTGGAAACTGGAGTTTCTTCACTTTTAGGTCAATATTTCTAAACAACACCGTCTCTTAACAGCAAAACCGCGTTTTTCCTAACGTCTTACTGGACAATACTGGCAAACTGAATCATTTATGCAAAAATATTAAGAGATGGATTTTACAAGAAAACTCGTCGACTTTCTTTGGACTCAGTTCTGTTGCTGGAAAAATTTAGATTACTTTTCTTTTAGTTGTTTGAACAAAGTAGTAAAACTACTCAGAAAAAATGTTAATGAACTTTTTTTTTAGATGTGAAAATTCCAGTCCCGGGTCTCGTAAACCTTAATAAATCACTTATACTGCGCTCTAACTAACTCAATAGCGCAGCTTAACACAGTGTTACCCAGGCCTACTCTAAGCTAAAATCGTTCCTAAATTATTTCAGTTGGTTTCAACCATATACCGCACCCATAAATTGTCTTTATACATGTAACAGACGCGTTAACAGCACTCGAAAGCAGAAAATCCGAAAAAATGTAAGGCGATCGTGCCGTTTGAATCCCTCCACTTTTTTAGTTTTACTTTTAGAACACTTTAAATTATGCAGTTTGCGCGAAAAAACATTCTGGACTGTCCCTAAATTAAGCCAAAAAAGAATCATAAAGTTTAAATAAAATCACCATTTTCAGGCTAAAGTTCTAGCGGCGTTGCCAAACTGCGCAAAACGTTTCAAGTTAATGAAAATTATTTCCTTTACTTGGATGCATACGTGTAGATTTATTCAATCTGGGTCGGTTTAGATTATTTAGGTCTTTCCAGGTAATTAATTTTAACTTTTTGCACATTCCTTTAGTCTTATTTAAAGAATCACTTCGACCATTCTAGCAGAAACAAACTACCTTAAAGTTAACCCAAAGGAAAACAACGCAAGAACACGCGGCAATACCTCATTGTATTAAATTGGGGAAAGAGCCAAATAATCCGCCACCTGACTATCGTGCTAGATAACCACAATCTGGTGATGTTAGAAAACATGTTGACACTTTTGCAAAAAACACAATTATTATGCATCTTAGGCCCAATTTTGCAGGTGGTGGGAAAGCGAATTTTAAAAGTTTGTGAGTGCTTTTTGGCTTAATTTATGATCTTTAATCGATAAGCATTGAAATAAGGACACTAATCGTGGTACTTTTACTGAATTTCCTGACAAGCGCTTTTTCCGTTTTTCGAAACTCCTTTGATTTACATTTAGAAAAATTAACCTCACTTTTGCAACTGAAAAATTCAAACAACACCATCGCCAGCCGCTTCAGCTCACACCAATGGCGCGTATTGAGGACATAGATAAAAAGGATTGAGATTGAAAACTTGATATTCCTTTCTAAATAAGTTATTCAGCATTTCTATTACATCACACTCCGGCTGTTTACTCTGTAGATTAAGTCCCCACAGTAAGCGGGTGCAAAAATCGTTAAATAGATATCAGATACTTACCTTTAGTTGTCAAGTATCTGCTTTACTTTATAAACGAATATCTGGATACAAAAAAAATTTGTTTGTATGGCTAATTTACGTTGTAGTACGTCACATTGAGTATCAAGACACTGGCTGCTCAGCTGGTTTAATTGTATACTGTGCCTACATCTAGCGGGATAACCTGGAATGTTCCGAGCCGATACGATTTTGACGCAAAACCTAAACTAATGAACTGTAGACAGTGATGCCATACTAGGGCTTTTTCTCAATTAGTCATTTGTTATAATTATCTAGGGATTTTCAAAATTGTTCGATTATTGCACAAAAATTAATTTTGGGAGAAAATATTAAAACATCTGACTACAGAAAGGCAACAAGCAGAGAGGAACCCCAATTTGTTTTAAGAAATATCAATTACGAGAAGATTACAAATTGAAGCGAAATTACGAGTTCCATTTTTTAATATTTTTTAAATGTAATATACCGTTTACCATAATATTTTTTGTCCCACTTATCATTTTTCTTTGAATGTCTAGGGAAAACTAGGGATTTTAAGGGACCATCTGGGAATTTTGATTTTACAGATCTTTCATCACTGTAGAATTTGACATAATTATTCTTAAATCTAATCGCCTAAAAACCTTCGAAAGTAAAGTAATATGTTTTGTGGCGAACTCTATCCGCCACTTCTCAATTAGCAGCTCCAACCGAAACGCCAGCTATATCTCATCGCATAACATCTGTGGCGTTTCGATTCAAATAGAACTTTCAACCTATGTTCCGTAACCGGCGTCTAAGGCAGGGCCTACCTAAGCCTTACTGACGAGTCCAATAGGTAGGCCCGGGACGAAACGCATGGTGCTTCAACGCGCCATAGTTTATTTACGTTAACCATACAGTAGAATAAATATTCCGTAAATGCACTGGTACATTGGTGTTAGGCTATCATTTGAAATAACTGTAAGAAACGTTTTTTTGGTCCAACATTACTTCAGATAAGTAGGTATAAGATGCATCTAATTTTTACCCTGTAAGACACAAATCCTCCAATTAACAAAAAAAATATAAGAGAACAGAAGCCATGAACTGTATTCAAATTATCCTGATTATTTTTGTGTACCCACTTCCTTTAATGTAGCCATAAATACGAGAAAAGCAAAAAATATACTTGATAATTACTCACCCCCTCCCATGCATTTAAAGCAATGAGCAAGGGGTTTTTTCACGAAAGGGATTCACACGTTGACTGGAGAAACCAACCAAAAGACAATCGTCTTGTTCGTGTTCCTGGATGTATTTTATGATGTCTTTGACCGCTTGTGAGATCGGCATTCTCTTAATCGCTGCTTCCCGACGCAACTGCTCGGTGATTCCTCGTTGGTGTTGAAGATTTGAGAAAACCTGGAAGACCAACCTAAGTCATCACTTTTTACACACCGTGTAACTAATTAGAAAATTCCCAAAGTTTCCATCCCAGTTTCACTACGTCATTTGCAAATCAAACAATCCTTACCATCTCCATATATTTACTTGCCGAACTTTGTAGAAACGAAATTGTGGGGTGGAGCTTTGCAATACACCAGGAAAACCAGCCAACACCCTAATTGAGTCGCTGTAAGGGAACTTTATGTAAATTCAACAAAATATCATTACTTTGGTTAATAATTACCTGATAAAACTCAGTTGTGAAATTGGAAAATGATAGCAAAACACACAAGTAAAAGCAATATAATTAATTGATTAAAGAAACAAGTCAAAACAATTAAGGAATCATTGACACATTTCAGGGCGAAGCGCAAAATAGATCATCCAATGTGCTAGACGGTGGAATTTGTAAAATGTGTGACAGAGAGGGATATACGATTTATTTGCATTTGTGCTAGCGCTTAAAGATTTTATTCCTTAATTAACCAGCGTTTGATACAGATCGCCCTTTTAGGGCAAACAGATTATTTTTAATTCACGTATAAATTTAAAAAAAATAAATTTGATAAATTTTTTAAAGGGTTCGGTCCTAGTAGTGTTTCTCTCATCATTTCCGCCCCCCAAAGTTGACAATTCCAAAGATTTCAACTTCAAAAATGACACAACCTCACTTTTAGGTGTTGGTGAGGTTTTATTTAAAATAATTGAAAAAATTCAGGAAATCAGTATTTAAAATTATCACCTACAATGGCGTTGATCGCAAGTTACGCAAAATCCGTTATTCAAGCCGTCCAAGTCTGGACACCACAAATAGTTGCTGTTCGGTTCAGATATCACTCAGAAAGAATTGCTGAAGGGCCTCTGGTTCGAAGGCATGGGTATAAAGACCCAGTGGAGTACAGCGGGCTTTTGCCGAGAGTGAAGGATTCGGCAAAACTGCCTATGCCAACCTACAAACCAAAGGATCACTGGAACGACCGGAGAGCCCTATTTGGCCAAAATGACTACATTGATATATTAGGTATGGCTCATTTTCAATAGGTGAAGATAACGAGATCTTAGTAGCGTTTGTGTTCGCTGTGCGAGCTCTATACTTTCCCTCCATTGTGCACGATTGTGACGATCTGCGACCGTAGGGTTTCTCTTGCTCATAGCTTTTCTAAACCTTCGCCCCACCATTGCCTTAAATTAAGTCGATTATCGAAAGTAATGTGGTAACTTGCATTTTTTCTCAGGAAACGAAAGAATACACCCGAGCCGGATATTATACAATGTGCCGCCTTGGCTCCGAGGTGTCGGAGGCCATGAGTTCCAAGTAATGATCCGTAAGCAAAAGATGCTTTACAAAACAGCCTATCCATTAGCGCGTCCGACCAAATGGTACCAGTTGCAAAAGAGAATTAGATTTCTTCATAAGTATTTGAATACGAAGACTAAAACTAATTATTCTCATCAATAGACTGTCTACTTGTCCACTGTATGCGAATGTGCCTGTATAAACAGAGTTGTTAGTAATCAGTTTTATCACCTGCTGTCCTCCACTTTAAGGTGCGATAAGAACGTTTGCTCGTTCGGATAAAGGCAATGGACTTAAGTAGTACATTTTTGTTTAAAGAAAATACATTTTTAACACATGAAAACCACCCAGCAAAGGCTGGAACTTTGCAGACTAGACCGAGCAAATAAAACGCGATTGCCTTCAATAAAAACATTTATTACTATTACAAATAATTTATAATAATTTACACATGTGAGGCAATCAAATGCAGCCAGTTGAAAAGTTGAAACAAGTATAGAAATTGTCTCTATACCAACTACAATCATAGTATATATTTCGTTTCAATTATCGAACAACTATTATAATTACCAAACGAAATTTGCTGTACAGAACAAGTTCAAATTGAGAAAGTTTACAACTTTTAGTAATTAATTTAAAGGTTCCAACATTATTAAAAACCCACCCAAAACAGTGAGCACTATTTTTGTCCTGGCCATTCAATTAAAAGCAGAAATCGGTAAAATTTCGAAGAACCTCGAGGCAAACGTATTCACAAATGGTTTTGCAGAAAAGATAAAAACGTGGTTTCGTAGTGCTTGCTCGAGTCGAGATGGCGAAGTGAGTGTCTTTCGTGCGGATAAATTTGGAGCTGATAGGGCTTTCCCGCGTTTACCATATACTTGATCAACTGTGAAGTGTGATAGAAGTGAACGTTTTCGTCGATCAGGCCGTGAATAATCAATAGACGATTCTCCCTGTTGAAGAATGGAAACTTTACAATCCTTCCGGGCAACTATGAGCAAAACACTTACTCATCAGGAAATTTGTGAACGTATTTGAGAACTGAGCCATCTTCATAACCATCTGCATTGTGTAAAGGCAGATCCATATACCGTTCAGTGTACCCAGTATCATAAAAGTTCCAATTAGTCACCGGAGCACCAGCTATTGCAACTTTGAACACATCGGGATGGTGAATCAAACCCATCAAACTTAAGTAGCCACCTACACAGTAACGTTCTCAGTTAGTTTGGGTTGGTTCTAAAAATATTGATGCTAACCGTAAGACCATCCATGGATGGCCACCCTTTGAAGATCAATGTAGCCGAGGCTCTCAGCAAGCCACCTGAGTACCTCAACTTGATCTTTCAGTTCCACAGTGCCCATTTTTCCCTTGATGTAACCTTCAAACTGAATGCCTCGATGAAGAGATCCTCGAGAGTCTATTGCCACCACACAATATCCTCTGGCTGCTAACATGTGCATTCTAAGATGACGCATTCCCTGATCATAAGTTATAAATCGTATAAAATAGCCAGAATTTCAAAATGTTGCAAGGCACTTACTTTGAAGGAGTTTGAAACCAACTGCACCTCCGGACCACCGTACACATTTAAAATCGTTGGATATTTTTGGTCGGGCTTAAAGTTGTGCGGTTTGAACACCATCGCATAGATCAGATGACCTGCAAAAGACCAGAATTGTGATTGCATGCTTTTTTTGGTAAATTTAAAGCCATTTACCAGACTGTATTTCATGGGTATAAAGATCAGGCAAATACGTCTCACATATTGATCCTGGGGAATGAACCAGGTAGCCCAGCGGACTGAGACTGACTTCCTCTACAGCCCAACCAATTTGTTCGACTCGAAATACTTGACAAGCCGGTGGCTTGCGAATATTGCTGTATACTGTTACTAATAAAGAACAATCCTGTAAAAAAGCAAGCAAGACACAATAAATTTACCGGGAATTCCGGATGTAGTTCACGTTCACTCACCCGATTAAATTCAACATTATACGAGTATCCTGGCCTGGTCAGCAGTCTTACCTCTCCTGGCCGTTTCAAAGAAACGATATACAGATGCTTTTCAAGCGGTGTTTCTTTAAGTCCCATAAAATAAATTAACTGACGGTCGAAATTAACCCACAAGTTTTGACTTAGAACTTCCCAATCTCCACTAGTCAGCTGGACTTTCGAGACTATTTTTGGAGTTAAAAAAGTACAGCTGCTAACCTTGAAAGACATTGCTCTTATTGTAGTTACAACCCATCCCAATCACCATCTTATAATAAATTGCTTAAAATATAGGAAAGTTCTGTTTTTAATCGCACATTTCCTTGGCTTATATTGGTTCAATTGAAAATACCCAATCTTTAAACTAACATAACACGCGTGAATCTTACCTCAGATGATTCTGGAAGTCCATAAACAAGTTGAGAAATGTGTGATGTAATTACGTATAAATGGCGGTAGCCCGTGTCTTCGTTTGCCCAAATAAACTTAATCTGGAAAAAAAATCAAATGCATATTCTTCAGCAAAAACTTCTTGCACACGTATAAAATAAATCGCAATAAAATCTTTTTTGAGTTTGAGTCTTTCACGTCTTGGAATCTTTTGGTTCAAAAGTGCAAAAGAAGCAGTAAAAAAATCATAACTTCTAAACTAAAACAAGTAGAAACTTGCAATTTTCTCAGTCCATCAAAGACATTTCAATCTAAAGCAGGTGAAAATTGCAATAAAATCCCTGTTGATTTTGATTTTTTTCACGGCTTCGCATTTTTTGTTGCAAAAGTGGGAATTTCAAACAGACCATCTTATGTTTAAAAAATCGTAATTTTCAAATTAGATCAAGTAGAAATTTGCAATTTTCTCAGCTTATCAAAAACATTTCAATCTAAAGCAGGCAAAGAATGCAAAAAAATCCCTGTTGATTTAGATTTTTTTCACGGCTTGACATTTTTTGTTGCAAAGTGGGAATTTCCAGAGGACCAGCTTATGTACAAAAAATCGTAATTTCCAAACTGGATCAAGTAGAAACTTGCAATTTTCGCAGTCCATCAAAGACATTTCAAGCTAAAGTAGGCGAAAGCTGCAATAAAATCCCTGTTGATTTTGATTTATTCCACCGCTTGGCATTTTTTGTTGCAAAAGTGGGTATTTCAAAAATGTTATCTTATGTTTAAAATATCGTAATTTCCATACTAGATCAAGTAGAAACTTGCAATTTCCTCAGTTCATCAAAGACATTTCAATCTAAAGCAGGAGAAAACTGCAAGAAAATCCCTGTTTATTTTAATTTTTTTTCATGGCTTGGCATTTTTTGTTGCAAAAGTGGGATTTTCAAAAGGACCATCTTATGTTTTAAAATCGTAATTTCCAAACTAGGTCAAGCAGAAACTTGCAATTTTCTCAGATCATAGAAGACCGAAGACGCACACCCATATACTTCTGGGCTTTTGTTTCAACTTATTTTTATTCTTATTCTTGCGATTTTTACATAAAATTCTCACCTCATTAGGGTCGTCGGATGGTAAAAAGTATAGTAGATCGTGGACATTAATCCAATATTGTGAGTCTTGGGCATAAATCACTTGAACAGTTGGATTGCCTGATAAGTTGTTTAGGTCACTTGAGTGATTAAAATAGGGAAGATCCGAAGCGAAATTGTTGAGCGATAACAAAACGATTTCCAAGTGCTTTTGAAGGCGGTCGAGCAGCTGGACCCAAACACTAGGAAAAAACAACAATTCAGAATCGATAGAGTTAGGCTTGGAAAAGGCTTACAATTCAGCATCGGGAGTCCAACCTATTCGCACTACATACTCCATCCATGGAAACATACCGTTTAAAGAAAATTGCAAGTCCAACAAACAGATATCGACAATTTGCAAATGTTCGTTTAATTTGAACTCGACTAGTTTGAGGTAGCTTTTCGAGTTGGCGGAGCCTGCTCTGGGAAACCGAAATTCTTCTACATCACCAGTGTCTGAATGTGAAGAAGGGAAGCAATAGAGTTTCACATCACTATCGTCGACTTCTTCATAAAGAATCCTATATACATCACCTAAAACAATATGATATCTATAAAATAATGAAGATAAATGGGAGATTGGACTCACCAACACACTTGGGTTGCCACCAAAATCCCTGATATCTGCTAAATTCCTCTTGCATTACATAAGAGGGCACGCCTGCACTCAGCGGATCATCAGCCAAATTTCGACCACCTAATGCACAAATAGTTTATACTGCAAAAATCCCATTCATCTTAACGGCAATTTCACCTTTGTGTGCATATGTAATGCGAACATTTGATCCAGACACTGTATGAGTTACCCAGATATCATGATTGCATATATATGCTACCAGTTCCGCATTTCTGGGGCAGATTTGGGGATTCAACTTGGCACCCATTGAAGTCATTCGTAATTTGGTTGGAAACAATTGTCCGTTCTGATTAACATCAAATGAATCAGCGGCGATTTATAAATGATTAAAAACTTACCGTATATCCACTGTCTACACATTGAAATAAACTGCTAGCAGTTGGAAACACTATTTTGCCAGAGTCTTCGTGTATTTCATAACTGTTAATTCCCCAAGTGGCCAATCGTTTCCTTTCCCACATCAGCTGTTCTTCTCTCGAGGATCTTGAAAATATTGGCAAATATAGAGCACAGAACACTTTAGAAGATTCACACCTACTTGCCGCTCGAAATACACGGGAAATTTGACTCAAGTACGTACTGCCATTGCAGGCGCAAACCTGCGGGTTGATTCGTATTTAGAATATCTGCGAAAAGAAGGGTCGTTTCCCAGCCTGCCAAAAGAAAACAGTGCATTAATCTATCGTCATTCTTCTGCAAAACTCGAAACTACACAATGGCCAGGATAAATGTTAAATAGGAATTTATTGGCAGTTTTAATGTGTTTCCGACAGCAGCGAGCACCCGCAAAGTCATCTAGAGTTCCACAAAAAAGAGCATTCAAGATGAGCTTCCGCTGAACTTGATACAGTAAAACAGTCAATTTTAGGAAAGTGTCAGTTTCGAAGGAATTTGTGTAGATCAAACGCCAACAGTGCATGGTATTGGGGCAAAATCACAAAAAGGCAGGTTTTCCTTGGAGTGCATTAATTAAGCAAACTAATAGTAACACTGACCGTGATGTGGACTGCTAAGAAAATAAATCCGAGTTCGGCCATCCTGTAAAGTCCTGAATGTAAAATCAGTAGGCACCATAGTGGACAAACTAGACAATTGTCTTCTGAGCTCACTGACCACTGCTCGCAGTTCGGGCCAAGTGAGTTTTTTGCTCTGAAACTCTATTGGCTTCGGAGGCTCTTCCGGCATGGGTTCCTGGATGGCTTCGTTAAGTTCTAAGTCCATGTTGACCGAAGTCATTGTATTCAAACTTGACAAATATATTATGTTCACAAATAGAGTCTATCTACATAATATTTGGTGTTTATCAATGAAATCAGTCACATTCCGTCTCAGGGTACTAAAAATAGAGTAAAAAACCATTCACCTCAGAAAACCATTTCTTTTTTGACCCAAATCGCTGCAAAAATTCAAACTAACCTAGTTCGAAATTTAATTCAGTTTGCCGTATTGGCGGGTTTCAGAATAAATTGTGCTACGAAAACCGCATTGTCACATTAATTTTGCATTTATTCAAGACTGTTTGGACAATTTTAAACAGAATTTAGGGACAGTTTTTTGCTCAATGACTTGGAACATGAAGAATGTTGAAAAAAATATTGTAAACAAAGCGAACTCTGTCTGTTTTGACAGCTTTTCACTTTCATCGCGGTGGCATTAGCAACAGTGTAGTAGGGATAAACGTGATGCAAAAAATAAAGTAGTCAAATTCAGTAATTTTATGCGATTAAAATGTTAATTAAATATCTGAAAAATAATCCCAAGTACTGCACTGAACCATTTGGGTTTTTTCCTACAGCAGGTTCGAATTTATTAACGTTGAAATAACAATAATTATTTCGATTACTTTTAATAGTCACCCAATAAAAGCACTAGCCACAATTGAACAACTGGATTTATTAGATACACAATAAAAAAACTCCACAGCATTACACGTTCTACATATAATAGGAAAAATAAGCGTATACAAGTTCAGGAGCGTATTTAAAAAAAGATTCCCATTTAAACAAGCTTCCAACCTTCCAACGGAACAACTATTAATTATGTGCGCTTGATAACGTTGTATAGAATTTATTCATTTTCATGCTCGGCATTCAGCCAAACAATCATTTTGTACTTTTTTAAACGTTTTTCGACAGTGTTTAAATATACAATTATTGTAAAAAATCAAACTGAATACATCAATACTATTTGAATTTAGCCAGTTTACATTCGTATATAGAAATGTCTAACCATTAGGATTGCCGAATCCTGATGGTTACGATCTGCATGCATTTGATTGCATTATTCAAGCTTTTCTGCCACCTCGTCTCTTCATCGTGGTCGTACATTGAGGACAGTACCATTTGCCCTTTGGAGGTGCCGTTATACCAACACATGGATAATGAAACCATTCCGATGGACACTGCAACAAACGGATTTTTGTTGTTCGGACATTTTCCGCATTTATTCGTACTCACCTCCTCATTATCGCAAGCTACCATATCACCATAAGACACCTGATTGCACAAGCAATACCGAGGCTCGTTCGGATCGTAAGTCCATTCGCCTTCGGTTACTTCAATTGGAGCAGTATCCATTTCAGTTGCATTCACTTCTTGAACTACCGCGTGGGTTTGGACTTGGCTTGGCACTACCTGCTGCATTGTCGACGAAGAACTAGACAAGTTGTTGCTGTATTTTCTGTAAAATGGGTGTTTAGTGACGACTAACGACTGCAAATCGTACTAATCGCACTTTTGCTTCTTCCTGTTGTTGGCATGGTCTTGTTGAATGGCCTGAATAGCCGTTTGAGCAGCTCCTGCCAATTCACGAGGAATAAACTCCTGCAAACTACTGGTGTTAATCGCCTCGTACGAAGCCTTCAAGCTTGCCGTCCTTCTTCCCTGTTGCATCTGAAATTTTAAGATCGTAAAAACAATATGTCTTCGAGTTTTTTGAATTTACGCCCATTATTGCTAAAATGTTTGGTATAAAAAGAGCGTCTTTTAAGTCTAGTACTACTAAATATGAGAGACTAACGGCTGTTCTCAACACCCGCATTAGTTTAGAATTTTCGCATTTTGCGACAAAACTAGAAATTATTCTAAATTGATGTTCGGCACAAAAAAAACGCGTTTTAAGGGTATGTCCCGCAATGCATCCGTATTAAGTGTACCTGTTGGGTGGCAGCGATAGCTTGCGATGCGGCAGCAGCTATAGCTGTACCCGCTCCTATTCCATGTCCCAGCCCATAAGAAATTCCAGCTGAAGGTGTGCTAGTGGTAGAGTTACTATTTTGAGATGGAACTGAGTTGGTGTGACGTGTATCCACTAAAGACGGAGATGCTGCTACAATAGCTGGTGAAGCAGCCTGCGAAATTTGTCGCTTCTCCCCAAACTGACTGGTTGATAACAAGGTGCTGCTCTCGCGCCGTTTTTCGCTCCTCGGTCTGGAGTATCGATGTGAGTAACTGTTCGAGCTTAGGCTGAAAGCACACTCATATTAGTGCTTTTGTCATCAGTAAATCATTGTCATGTAAATCATAATCATGTCATCAGAACTATTATGGCAAAACGTCACCAAGAAAAGTTGTTAGCGTAGGGATTTCCTATAAAGTGGGCGCTTTTTTACGGCGCAGCACAAGGCCAGAGTTTCGCAAGCATTACTTATCACAATAAAAACCTTACCTGTCATACCTATTTTCCTTTTGTTGGCTCAGAATGTTCGATACCGGAGTTGGAGTATCTAGTTCAAGCGATCTTTTTTCCAATACCTCAGTAATTCCCTTGTTATCCGCTTCGAGCTCGCACTTGAACTTGTGCAGCTCCGAGTCCAGTCTTCTGAGATACTTATCCACCAAATCATACATGGTATTCGCTAAATGAACCTATGTAATGTGATAATATCCTTTAAGTAAGTTTTGGCAATCACTTCTGTTGGATGATTGTACCTTTTCATCAGCGTCCTCTAGGGATTTATAGTACTCTTTTCTTATGCCCTGGTATTCATCTTCTAAGTTCGGTGGAATGTCTTGTTTTTGATACTTTCGACATTCACTAAAGAATGTTTTCACTCTTTTTTCAAGTTCATCCATGTTGTCTGTAAACAAACATTGGAGTTTAATACTTTAACCGAATCAACCCCATTAAATGCTAACTCACTGTGTATGCCTAAATCCATTTCACGCATATCAGTAAATCTATCCCTGAGTTCTTGAGGTAAGTGTTCGATCACTATAAAAGCATAAAGAAAAAAATTAGCACTGTAAAACTATGTATAATACACTTTTACATGTGTACCACCAAAACAAATCTACTTACTTTCTAGGTAATCCTCTAAATATAACATTCTGGTAAAGTTGAGTATTACACGTTGTAAAAGCACAAAAAATATAATAAAGTTACACGGAATTTAGCAAATGCAGCCTTAATTTGCAGACAAATTTCGTCACATGTGTGTATCCGTCCGACATTTGTAATTCAGCATCTGTTAGAACTGTCCAAGATTGACAACAGATCAACAATGTCTCTTGTAGACAGGCTGTGAAAATTTACTTGAAACGTTTGACAACGGGGCAAGGCGGCTGAGTCAAATTTCGCAAGTATCTAGCAGTTTAGAATATGAAAAACTAGAGAATATTTTTTTGTCAGTTAGTTCATATTTTGTTAGCCTCAAATCAAAAAAATTGCATCCAGAAATTTTTCAATTGAAAAATATTTCACATGTGCCGCTGCTTTCAACCTTAAGTAGGCATATATAAAT